CTAAGTCTGAAACTGGTGGCCTGGTCTCATTTTGTTAGATGGTTAATGCTGTAATTGATCAGGGCCAGCAACGGTATGGGCTAAAAAGTTTCGTCTGTGTTAATAGCAACATGCCACTTTAAAAAAAAATGTTATGGGCTAAAAAGTGGCATGTTGCCATCAACACAGATGAAACATCCACAACACTTCTCTCAGGGATAAAGCTGCTAGTATTCACCTAGGAACACCCTTGCTAAAAGAAGAAACCTTTCCCACTTATCTTGGAGTGACATTTGATAAAAGGCTCACATGCAGAAAACATAAAGACATTGTAAAAGGGAGGGCCAGGAGACGACTAGGCCTACTTAGAAAACTGGCAGGTACAGGATGGGGAGCAAATGTAAAAACCCTAAATAAAGTTTATAATGGAGATATAAGATCCCACTTGGAGTTTGGTGCAACCGCTTGGCCATCAGCTGCTAATTCTTATCTACAATAATTAGATAGAGTGCAAAATCAAGCCCTTAGACTCATCACAGGATCCATGAATACTGCACCAGTCCTGGAGACGCAGAAAATAACTGCAATGCAGACATTGTAAGATAGAAAAGACACTAAAACTATGATCAAGACCGAGAAGTTTGATAGTTTGCAGTCACACCAAATGAATCCACGATGAGATGATCTGACGTTGCGGCGTCTCAAACATAGCAGCTTTGTATATTGGGGGAAAAGACAGTATCAAGCAGATCTACCCGTAAGATTAACGCCACTGAAATCTACCTTAAACCGTGTGCCTTAGGAGCAAGTCTGCGACACAGTACAGATAATGACTTTAGTCATTAGGTGTTTCTGGGACCTCTCCACGGGTGTTTATCGCCTGTGTGATGTCCTAGTGGGGTAAAAAGTAAGTTCAACACAGGCAAGCAATCAATGACACACACATACAAACGAAATCAAGAAATGACACACATACACAAACAAAAGCAAACAATCTATTAGACATACACACAAACAGGCAAGCAATAACACACACAAGCAGTTAATGACACACATACACATAACAATGACACACACAATCTATGACAAAAACTCAAACCCAAACTATGACAAACACACATATAAACCAGCAACAAAACAGACTATGAGATTCAGTTTTATTGTTTGTCTCCATATATGTTCAAACCTTCCCCCAAGCAGGACAATTTCTGAGAAGAGCAAAAATAACTTAGGTTCCAATATTGCTGTCAAATCATTGGAGTTATAGCAACTGTGTTATACAACAGAACAAAGGACATGTACATACATTAGCCCTGCATTGCACTGATGATAGTTGCACAGTCGGTTATAGCATTTATTATACGTTATATGCATCTGTTATTATGCTGGAAAATTAAATATATTCTTGAATTCAAAAAAGTAGTGGACTGAATTAACTGCATCAGACAGATTGTCTCCCTTCCTCCAAACGTTTGCATGACAGCACTGCTAGTATTTTCCGCTTGACATCAATACATCAGTCAAACTACATCAATAACATCACTTACACAAAGAATGCTTCAATAATCATGCAAATAAACAGAACAACACCTGGCTCACACACAGCAGCTATTGCATGTGTAAGCATGAAAGTTCTTCTCAAATTTGTGCCAAAATTCCAAGAAGTTTGTTGGCTAAACACACAGATTGGTGCTAATGCTTCATTACTTATCTACAAATGAGGAGTTCACTGCTTATCGTCATCATAGCCCCCATAGTATTTGTCGGGGAGGGATGGGGGGGGGGGGGGGCCCTAAATATAATCGGGGCTTTAACATGGCCTAACGGCTGAACAGGGTTTCCGGGACCTCTTCCCGGGTGATCCTCATCCGCACGGTGACACTTTGTGTCACAGGGTGTTTATCGCTTGTGTGATGTCCTGGTGGGGTACAACTTACCTACCTACAAATGAAGTGCCAGGCTTGGACTACTAGTTCAACAATCACCCTGTCTCTATAGATATGAAGTTCCAGAACTGGCTTTGCTCACCACACTTTCTGAGCCTAGAGAGGGGTAGAAGCATCCCTGTGGGGAAGATTCCTTTTGTGTTAGGATGACCATACAGTGTCTAGATGAGCCTTTCTCTGATGGATGCTAGCAGTTTGCTGGACTTGGAATTATTTGAACACAAATGCTTCACATTCTTCCTGAGGATTTCAAAGAACTAAGCCAAGCAATCAACCAACCAGATAACAACAACAGTAATGATTTCAAACTACATTAACACATTCTCAAATACAATACATTAAGATTTATTGAAGAAATTAATAATGCCAGAAGCAAATTAGCAGTCTGAAATATAATACGCTCAACAACAGAACAGCAATAATAGATGATGTTCAACAACAGAACAGCAATAATAGATGATGTTCAACAACAGATGACTTAAAGAAAACTACATATTTCTACAAGCCAGTCTCTCTCTCATTCATATACATTTACTCAGGAAACAAATAAGTCAGGTTATCACAAATAATAAATAGAAGCAGCTGAAATCCTCTCTGTGATATCAAGGAAACATCAATGTACAAAACACACATTCTAATGATGTAGATTCATGTTCAGAAAGAAAGCAATGTGGGGTGAAAGGAAATACACTTTCTACTGATGTACATCTGTATTCATGAAGAAATGAGAAATGAAAGGAAACATTACAATAAAATTTACAAATCAGGGCATTAATAACTTACAGCATGAACAAGCCTGCATACACTTCAACAATAAATCAACATAAACAATCAATATCTGTCCAATCTGCATACAAACGGTGCTTGCCTAAACAATCATAAACTTCTAGTGCCGGGTTAAGAAAGAAGTAACATCCAAAACTTGTCAGTCTGAGACAACAGATTACATACGGTAACAGAACATCACAATCTAGTGCCAAGTTGAGAGCTGACAGATTTACAAGAAGTACTATCCAAAACTTGTCAGTCTGAGACAACAGATTACATACGGTAACAGAACATCACAATCTAGTGCCAAGTTGAGAGCTGACAGATTTACAAGAAGTACCATCCAAAACCTGTCAGTCTGAGACAACAGATTACATACGGTAACAGAGCATCACAATCTAGTGCCGGGTTAAGAGCTGACAGATTTACAAGAAGTAACATCCAAAACTTGTTAGTCTGAGGCAACAGATTACATACGGTAACAGAACATCACAATCTAGTGCCAAGTTGAGAGCTGACAGATTTACAAGAAGTACCATCCAAAACTTGTCAGTCTGAAACAACAGATTACATACGGTAACAGAACATCACATTCTAGTGCCAAGTTGAGAGCTGACAGATTTATAAGAAGTACTATAAAAACCCAATGCTAGGGTGAGGGACAACAGATTTACATAAATCAAAAACATAAAAACAGGTTATGTGGTAACAGATACAACAAACATATCCATGCTTCCTGTGCTCGTATCCCCCCGGATGGAGCATGGGAACCATGCAAACACAACCTGACAAGGAAACCGAGGTTACCCAACATGGAGGTAACAAATGTCAACACCTATGCACATTAACAGGCTAACAATAAACTACTCGGTGATGGGATACTAAACAAACCAGAAGTGAATAATTCACAAAGTAGAACTATAGTTTTTGACTGAGGACAATTTATACCTGCAGAATATAGGAAAAAACACACACACAACAACAGACAAAGAACACAGTTCTTGTAAAATAGTTACTTTACATTATTGTATGTTATAAATAATTTAAGGCAGGATAGCTGGCTTCTTTTTTAGCTGTTGCGGCTACAACTGACCACACACAGACACCTGTTGCGGCTACAACTGACCACTAAGACAGCTGCTGTGGCTACAACTGACAAAGGTGTTTACCTACTATGGCTTACTGTAGCCCATTAACTCTTTGAGTCCCAAGGAACGCATCATACGTTCATAGGTTCCGACCTAGAAGCCCAATAAACGCAAGACACCCCGATTTTACATCTCTCTTCACTATCCCCTGGGCCTGTGATGCTATAACATCCTGAGACTCAAAGAGTTAAGACACCTGAAGCACTAACACAAATGCGCCTATTTACATAAAACCTGTTTTATCTATCCTTCAAGCTGTCCGTAATCACAAATACTTTTGCCCCAACACTTTCTAACTCCTCAGTAAAACATGTGGCCTTGTAGTGTCCCAGTCAACTGCAACTGACACACTGATATGTATACGCCATCAGACAAATGCTGTATAAAGTGATCACAAGATACTGAAATCATATGGGAAGAAGTGCATAAATAAATATCATATAAGGCTTCTCAGGGACTGTTGTATGAGGATAAAGATAATCTGGTTCATCAATAAAGCAAAGAAACACATCTACAAGGAATACAAGGTGCAATTCAAAGCAATGTAAAAAAAAGCATGATTGGCATTGATAATGTTGGTCCTCATGGCAGGAAGGTATTTACACGTTCTGTAAGTTGCAACAAATCTGTCTGTGTCCGATCTTTGGGACTTGGTTACACCCTAGGACCATGTTCTTCAACCTGGCAGGGGTCCATGGAAATTTCCTGGCTATAGTGGAAGCTTAATAAAGAAACTGAACTGATGTTATTGCGATACCTTGTTTCTCAGAAACAATGCTCAGGCCACGTATCAAATTAGTTGAAAAACTAATTTTACAACATAACATTTAATTAATCAAATGTTTACAGTTGTATATTTCCATTTTAGCCACTAGTTGAGACACTTCTAATTTCCTGGTCCATAGATCTCAACAGGTTGAAAAACAATGCTCTAGGAATTATGTATTTTCTGAGGAATATCAAGGCATGAACCTCAAGGGCTGTCTCTGTGTCAGGGTGATCAGACCTGTCATATCTTACATCTTTATAGTCGAGGCTTTCTTCTGAAACTGAGAACCTGAAAGACAGCGGACACCCTGTGGAGGATGGCAGACTCATATAACCACCCACAACAAAAGACCGCACCCTAGGAAAAGAGTCACGGTACAGTGACGCAGTGCTATTTTTTCTTGGATGGTGTAATCTTGGGTATCCTAGAGATTTTGGTGGACGTCACAGTCGGGAGCGTCACATTTCGTGTCTGCACATTGTGAGTCTGGTAAGTGACGGTGGTGTCTGTGCGCCCTCCTACGTTCCTGCTGTCACTCTGTATGGTTGTATACACGTCTGGGCCATCATCAGGAGCCTCAGATCCTGTACGACTGGTTGGTCGGCTTCCGCTGGCGGCGCTGGCTCGACTGGAGCTACGGCTTGCTGCAAGTACAATCAGAATAAATATTCAGTATTTACAACTTAGTCGATATTTACAGGCCAATCATTTAAAACTTAAAGATGTGTCTGTTGTCTATTGAGATGATGATGACCACTCTTTTTCATCAAGTATGAGTACGAAGATGACTGATCAGGCCGATAAGTAAAAAATTAAAGTAAAGATCCCTTTCCACGCCTTTAGGCGTATCGGGCATATAGGAAGAGCGCCCATATTTTTTTCAGACCATCAGCACTCGGTGGGTAATGTGGTTCTGGTACCCATTTTAGGCTGGGTTGACGCCCCCTACCATGATAAAAATCCACACAGCCAGCAGTGGGTTTCAATCGTGGTACGCTGGATTACGAGTCGGACTCGCAACGCGTAAGCCACGGACGGATCAGGCCGATGTGGGCCCGAAAATTTCCTGGACAGTGAGGACAGGGAATGAGTGTTGTGCCAGGGAGAAGATCTCCTGCAGTCGCCTTTCTGTCCATCCTTTTCTCTTTTCTTAATCAGTCTTGCTGTTCTGTTTGCTTTATATGTAGAGTTGCACGCCATGAATTTTGGTCTAGAGAGGCAGCCTCTCAATTGGTGTCATTCATCCCAAATGCTTTTAGCGAAGACTCCTTAAAGTGTTTCTTTTGCCCGTCTTGGGAACGTTTCCCATTTTGCAGCTCACCACAGAAGAGTTTTTTTTTTTTAAGCCTGTGATCTGGCATGTGTGCCACATGACCAGCCCAATGAATCTGATACTGCATCAGTAGAGTGTGGATGCAGGTGAATCATTTAAAACAGAGATATCATTTACAACTAAAACATCATTTACAACTTGGTCAATATTCACAAGTTAATCAACATTTACAAGGGAGCTGTAGTAGCTAGATGCCTGTCTGCCAACCCAAAGGTCCTGGGTTAAAATCCACATAAAATGTTCAACGCTCACATAACTGCAATTTATGGTGATTCAAGGATTCTTACACAATCACTGAAGAAAACAAATCAGAGCTTCAGAACTGAAATACTATAAAAAAATAATTCCTAGAATACCATGAACCAAGAAAAAGACAGAAATGACTGTAAATGATCTAAGAAGAGAGGAAAATTGGCTCATATACAGCATCTTGTCCCGAAAGCTGAGGTAATCAGGTCATGTTAAATTTCATGCTGGCCTGGACAAAACGGTGATGGAGGGTATCGTTTCTGGAGAAAGAAGTAGAGGCAGAGCTTTGTGATTGTGGATAAAAAGCACTGAAGATGCATTGACAACAAAAGCCCATAGGGCTGAAAAATTGGCTAGACGAATAGAGACTTTCAGGTGTGCTGTGATGACAGCAACGTTCTGTAAAGGACCTGTTGATTGATGATGTAAACGACTCAAAATGAAACATCCAACTGTTTAATGTTACACTCTATCTGATGACATCCATGTGCCCATGTTTTACACTCTATCTATCTGATGACATCCATGTGTCCATGTTTTACACTATCTATCTGATGGCACCCATGTGCCCATGTTTTACACTCTATCTGATGACATCCATGTGCCCATGTTTTACACTCTATCTATCTGATGACATCCATGTGCCCATGTTTTACACTCTATCTGATGACATCCATGTGCCCATGTTTTACACTCTATCTATCTGATGACATCCATGTGCCCATGTTTTACACTATCTATCTGATGACATCCATGTGCCCATGTTCGCTTTATTTAAAAACAGACCCTTTTTCGTGTCTTCAGGCGTACTGGGCATCTACGGCTAGACCTATATTTCACAGACCAATCAGAACTCAATGGGTGATGTGGTCAATATAACCCTGACTGCCTTTACTTTCCACAACTCTTCTACCCATTCAAGGTTGAATCAACGGGGGAGCCAAGGTCATTTCTGAAAAAAGTCCAGCGCTGTTAAGATCCAAACCCATGACCCTCCGTGCCATGGTGAGTGTTGTTTGAGTGTGTAGCAGTACTAAAATATAGAGAATTCAACAAAGCAGGTGAGGAAGAGTTTATGAACAAGACCTGTGCGTATGTATCAGCTAAAGAGAGTCTCTGGCCTGACAGTGGTGCTGGGCCAATCAAGTGAAACACTTACCAGGGTTGGAAATGGTCCTAGGACTGCGCAACTCCTGAGTCACCTTGTGCTTCACCACCCTGCTTCCATCTGGGTCTGTGTGGGACATGATCTGATGCACTTCCCCGTCCGGTGACACTTTTGTCTGTCTCCATGGAGTCTGGTGCACAGCCTTCTCTCGGATCTAAGATGAAGACATCAACATTAGAAGAAGTTGATGATGACAACGACAGTAGTTGTGGTGATGACAAGCAATTAGGTAATCACATTTTTTTCTTCTAATTAGAAGTATATCTTTTGTAGTCAGACTGCATTTGCCTGGGTGAGGAACCATATATAAGAACACAAAATCACATAACTGACTTATCTCCGATAGAAATCACATATGTGTATGGCCACCAGAATATATGACATGTGTGTGGCCACAGGAAATAAATATGGCCAGGAAAAGCTATGAGCGACAGGGCCATAACTCAAGTATATTAGACAAAACCATGTTGGATGTTAAGTCCAATAATTGAATCGGTAACCATGAGATTCAATTTCAAACTGCCAAGGGATTTTGTACATGCGCAACAACACACACGGGTGTCCGATCTTATTACCCAGAGACCAGGAGAAATTACTAGAAGTCTCCGCGAAAAAATCTGAGCCTTCACCATGGCTTGAACCTGGGACCTCCAGCACTAGAGGCGGACGCCATGCCTCGAGACCCAGCAGCCCCCTAAAATAATATCATATCCAGAAGGATTGAAGAACCATGAACCCTGATATCTGTGTCAGTCCAATCACATGAAAAAAAAAAAAAAAAAAAAAAAAACCAAGAAAGTGGACATACATAATTACCTATTAAATATTAACATGCACAATTGTATGTTTGATGTAAAACAATGGAAAATATTAAAAAAAAAAAAGTTTGGTCTCTCCTGTCCCAGAAGTCAACAGCTTACCTTTGTGATAGGTCCACTGGCTGTACTAGCAGACTTCCCCGAATATGATGATCCACTGGAATGTGAACTCCCGGCGGGGGATTTGGCAACAAAGCCTGTCATAGACTGACTGACACCCTCGGCCAGGACAAAATGTTCCCTCAGCTCCATGTTTGTACGTCCCTTCGCTAGGTGATTGAAGACAACAAATATGGTCAGTACAATAATAAAATGATGAGTATCTTGTGTGGAAACTAGAACTGCTGGCGTCTGCTAGAAGAATTTGTGGACTGAGGAGCATGGTTTTTATCTTCTTCCTGTCTCCATGCAGTCTGTGTGTGTATATGCTTAGGATGTCATGGACTCAAGAAAAATGCTTGCAGTGTCAGAGCTATAACTCTCTCTACATGACAGATTGCGAGCAATAACTCTCTCTACATGACAGATTGCGAGCTATAACTCTCTCTACATGATAGATTGCAGTTTAACCACACATAACAGGTCACATGATACCAAAAATTGTTGGCCAGTGATGTGTGTGATAGAGTGAGAGAGATAGAAAGACAGAGGGGGAGAGAAAAGAGAGGTATACACAGACAGATCAGCAGAGAGATCAACACAGAGAAAAACGTTAGGGGCAGGGGAAACACATTCCCTCCCACCCTTTAAAAAAAAAAAGAATTATTATGTCTCATTTATACTGAACATAATCAAACTATATTCATTTACTGTAAACAGCAAATGTGCATATACATGTGATTAATTTTGTCTCATAAAATGCATACTTTAAAATCTATCAATTTATTAACACTACTATTCCATCCATCCATCCATCTATTGAGAGAGAGAGAGAGAAACAAAGAGAGAGAGATACAGAGAGAGAGAAACAGAGAGAGAAACAGAGAGAGAGAGAGACAGAGAGAGAAACAGAGAGAGAGAGAGAGAAAGAGAAACAGAGAGAGACACAGAGAGAGACGCAGAGAGAGAAACAGAGAGAGAGAGAGAGACAAAGACGGAAATTCTATCCATACACATTTAACATCTACTATAAGCCTCACACAGATAGAACAACATTCATAAAAGCAACCACATCAAATCATTCTCAAAAGACATATTTCAATACACATCCATCATGCCCTTTAAACAAACACATCAGCCCACACAAGACCAACAAAATCATATCATTTGCTTTGTTGAAAACATTACAAATCCTATTTCTCTAACTGCAAGCAGTGGCGGCTTAGTGACTAGACCCAAGGTCTTGAGATCGATTCCACAATGAGTCTGACTGTTTCAAAGTAGACCTCAGCTCCTAGGCCGACCCAACCTAAAATGGGTACCTAGAAAAATCCTGCGAAGTAAAGGTGGCTGGCACAATGATGACCACATCACTCATCGAGTTCCGTCTGGTCTACACAAATATGAGTCTAAAAACATCATTTGCCTTTTGTGCCACTAATATGTGAAGGGCCTTTTTCTTGTTTTACTGATTTCTCCCCAAGTAATTTCAGTCTGAGAATATAAATAAATGATTTTAATAATATCTACTGTAATCTAACGTGACTATAATATCAACTATGAATCTGAATAATCAGACAATCTTTTGATCAAATACCCAATTTACTTGTATAAAACAAAACCAAATAACCACATCATATAAATAACAACAAGGATTTCAAAAGGCAATAACAAATAAAAAAAAAACAAAAACATCTAGTGCAAAACTGTCCAGATACCAACATAAATCATGATGATAAAAAAAAAGCACAAAAGCACAAAATACGCAGGCATGCACTTACATCTGTCGTTTGTTACGCTTATGTCTAAACTGAGTTATGTCTTGGGTGATATTCACAACACTCCGAACATGTTCATAGGTGATCAGATTCTCCCTTTAACATACACATTATGCCAGTTATTTGTGCATCTGGTATGCGTCTCATGCTTGACTATGCTGATCTTTACTCCCAATTCTCATATTCATAGCAGCGATGTGGACACACTATTCCCAAAAAGCTTTCATCTCCTACTTCTCTAAGGCTATTAACAATGTCGGTACGACCCATATGTCACAACCCTGTGAGTACAGTCAGCGGAATGTACCACACCATAAGGTGTGCGTGTTGAGGTGACACCTCAGGGTTGACACAAAGGTCAGGGCCGTGACTGGTCAAGTCTGTTCTGTTATTGCACGGTGAAACCAGCGCTCAGGATAAAGCGCTTGGACACAGGCAAGAAAGAGTGAACTTTGTTGTAGACAAGTCCGCAACACGATTACCCCTTTTGGGACTGAGCTGGTGAACGGGGTCAAGCAACACGAGGTGGAGAGAACACAGGACATTCGGTGTGCGAGGGTCAGACCAAGCAGACGTTTAGCGAGACAGTGATAGTATATTAGAGTTAGGATATTTCTGTTAATGACTGCATAGTTTATGTAGTGTTCTGTTAGGATAGTTTTTGTGTAGTGTATTTAACTGGTACAAGGTATTGTGTTGTTTCATAAGAAGTAAATAGGTTCCAGTTACTTCTGACCAGTTAAATCAGTTGTGTACATGTTCTGTGAGAGAACGTCTAACCTTGGCACTCTGACCCTGCACTCGACAGAGGCTGTGACAGTTTTATTGGGTCAGCGTGGCGATAAAAAGAGCGTATCTCGCCGTGCTGTGGTTTGTGCACCAGGAGATTGCCTGTAGCGCATACTGGGGAACGAGGCGATTGTAAAGCCCGTTCGGCCAGAGGGTCCAGGCAATAGGTGGCCACACAGCGGGAAGTCAACTGTCTGTTGTATTACCTGTACTTACAATAAAGATTGTCGTGTGTGCTCTGTGTGCGTTCAGGTTTAGTGTGTGTTAAAGGTTAGTTTGTCTGTCATAGGGTCAGTTACGAGCCACGGACCAGCAAGGTCACCCAGAGGTCTGTGACACCATAGGCCGACACTTATGTCTGCAGTGCAGATGTACTTGGCAACACAACAACCATCTTTACTTCCCAGGACTTTACCTAGTACCAAGATTAGATTTGCTCAACATGGGAGTCGTGGTCCAGTTACCAAAAAAAAAACAAAAAAACAAAAAACAACCTTGATGTGGATTTGAATCCTAGGCCTTTGGGCCAGGCAGTTTAGCGTCTAGCCACACTACCCTGTTGCGCTCTACAATTCCTTACAGACTTTCATAACATCATCATCCTCATCAAGTGCCTTGCCTACTAGCATGGGCGATCATGCCCCTCCACTTTCTGCACCGGTGTATATCAGTTCGTGTCCTGACACCTCTCCGTGCCATGGTGAAAGACTTCAAGAATCTTCTCACGCTGTCTTCCTCTGTCTCTCTTTCCACAGATATTTCCAGTAGTCACAACATGTTCCATTTTCTTTCTTCTCATTATATGAACCCAAAAAATGATGACTGGCTCTTTCTGATGTTTGTGATAAGTTATCTTCGAGCACCTGCCTCTTTCAAAACATCTGGGTAGCTCTTCTTGTCTGTCCAAGGAATTCTAAGGATTCTTTTGTAAAACCACATCACTGAGGCCTCAAGGCATCGTTTGGCTTGTTTATTAATTGTCCAGGCTTCACAGCCATATGTTAAAACTGGCTCTATATAGCATAGAAGAAATCTTTTCCTAACCTCTAGTGACATGGATTTATTGCATAAAATGTTCTTCATTTTGTAAAGTGCAGTTTTAGCCTGTCCTATTCTATTCTGTACCTCTGAGATACATCTTCCATTGGATGTTATCCATGTGCCTAGATACTTACATTTCTGTATTTGTCCTAAACTAAGGCCTTTGACTTTTAATATATATTTAGGCACTATTCTTTTCTTGGAAACCATCATTACTTCTGTCTTTCCATTATTCAAACTGAGGTCAATTTTATTACCTTCAACCTCCACCGTATCTATCAATTCCCGTAGTTCTTTCTGATTTATCGCTATTAAGACGGTGTCATCAGATTTACGCAGATTATTTATATTTTGACCACCATCCACAATTCCTGGCATATAAATGATAGATATCATGATATATTTCCTGTATAAAGAAAACAAATCAGGTGATAGTATGCATCCTTGTCGTACTTGTCGTACTTCCCTCTTTATACTCTGAGATTTTCCCAACTGGTTGTTACTTCTTATAGCTGCTGTTTGCTGCCAAAACATGCTCTTTATAATTCATAAATTTTTTCCATCAATGTAGACTTCAACATACTGATTATTAACAGTGAAATCATGTTTCTGCCCCAGATTAGATGTAAATTTGACAGGACTGAAACAACCCAAGGAAACCGACTCTGGATCCTTCAAATCTTCACATCTGATATCTATTAGACCTTTCAAAATGACAATCTGTTCAGTTAGTTTAGAACTACCATAACAAGATAAAATTCTGAAAACATCCAACACAGTTCATGCAAAAAAAAAACAACATTGTTATATTAGTTTTATCCTTTGACCTCATTCGTTCACCTGTAGAAAGATATCTATCCATTTTTTGTACGTTAGTTTGTAGGATTGTTGATTTAATAACACACAAAATGTCTTAAGGGAAAGAAAAAAAAATAAGCTGCTTACTGGCAACACAGGATTGCAAGCAAGCCAAGGGCTGACAACATCACTTCAAACAACAAATAATAACTTTACAGATGATCTATTTGCTACAATTTTAAATCTTCTACCATTTATCTCCCCATAGAGCATAGGCCTTCAACAATCACCCGTGGGCCTAAACTGGCCAACAAAGCAATTTTTACTAGCCCACGAGGCTGGTGTAAAATTACTAAATAATCTGGCCATTGAGCTCACAAAATAGCAGAACATAATTTCTGCAAATTACCTCATACAGACACATTTAGGAATTTAAAGAAAGGTTTCAGTGGGTCAGTGTGTCTGGCCAGAGGGAGAGGGATTATTATCCCATAAAAAATTGTGTTACGAGGAAATCAAGGTGTTAAGTTTATAATGGATTTTGTTCTATATGACCCATGACAAGGCTAGTAATTCTAAAGTTGGCCTATGGACCAAAAAACTGTTGCCCACACCTGTTCTACACCCTTACCATCTTGAGCAGCTGGCTCCCCATTATCCTCACCTCTATCTCCAGTTCTCTTCATGTGTATCTTGTTACCAGACATAAAGTCAGGACCACACAGGGGATCTTCCAGTGTTGGTTTCTGGGTCCCATTTGGGGAGGCGGGGTGGGGGGGGGGGGAAGAACTGCCATCTATCAAGCGTGTTATAAAAAGTGACTAATTAGGATGTTGCTGAATGTGTTGAGCCAAAAGCCGCATCAGATATCACAGCTAAGCTGTATACCACCACATTACATATCAACCACCTTTTTAAGGGCTTACACAGAAGAAGTTAATGAGGACTGAACTTGGGACAACCATGGCAGAGAATTAATCATTATCTTAATACAATCCCTGTGCACCTTTATTAATTCTTCTTCTCATTGTCCCTGCTGTGTGGTGTTGCTAGTCATGTCTATCCCTAACCTTCTGTTTCATGTACTCTCAGTCAACTCTGACACAGATGATCCTCCATAGTCCCTGCTGAGTGGCATTGGTAGTCATGTCTATCCCTAACTTTCTGTCTCATGGACTCTCAATCAACTCTGACACAGATGATCCTCCATAGTTCCTGCTGTGTAGCGTTGGTAGTCATGTCTTAACCTTCTGTCTCATGTACTCTCAGTCAATTCTGACACAGATGATCTTCCATAGTCGTTGCTGTGTAGCGTTGGTAGTCATGTCTTAACCTTCTGTTTCATGTACTCTCAGTCAACTCTGACACAGATGATCTTCCATAGTCGTTGCTGTGTAGCGTTGGTAGATGTCCTAACCTTCTGTTCTATGGACTCTCAATCAACTCTGACACAGATGATCTTCTATAGTCCTTGCTGTGTAGCGTTGATAGTCAAGTCCTAACCTTCTGTTTCATGGACTCTCAGTCAACTCTGACACGTGATCTTCCATGTCATGATGTCAAACTGTCTAGCATTTTCTCTTTGTCTCCCTCTGCCTCTCCTTCCCAACCTTCCCTGGTTACTCCAGTTTTCTGCTCTCACTAAATAACCAAAAAATGCTGGTTGTCTCATTCTAATTATTAATATTAACATACTATCATCTGAAGCCATTTGTTAACACAGTATCAAAGGAAAAGAGACACTTTCTGAGATAATTTACAACTTAAACTATTACTATTTTCCTATCAGTTCCAATTTTAAGTGGATAAAATATTCCTGCCAGTTCTAACTCAAGTATGTAGGTTTTCTCAGACAGCTCTAGCTTTCAAGTATCTCTATAATCACCATGAAGTTTTCAACATTAGGAATATAAAATCTCTGAAACAGTTCTAAATTTTAGAAAAAGATTTATTTAACAATCAAATTTCATCCCCCGACACTATGATGAACAAAAATTGTTAAGACAAAATCAAACCACCGCCTCCAATAAAATTAAAATCACAACACTGATCTATCATGCGAAGACTTACACTGAAATTATAGGAAAAACAATGAAAATAACGAAAAGACAATGATAAGCAAATTTTCCAAAATCTTTGGCGATGCAACCTAACATCAAATCACAGGGGGAAAACAAAAATAAGACCAAAGTTTGACAACAGAAAATGAACCATGGCAAACAGGCAAGGCACAGTGCAGCAGCACAGGAATACTACACCGAGGGACCTACGTTCTTCGGTGTTCTGATGGAGATAACGACGTTTGAGACGGAACTGTTTCCGACGCCACAAGCCAACTTCAAACAGAGAAAGCATGTACAGATTACTCATAAATGTCATATCAAAGTATATGTACCCACACTCTTATATTTGTAGATAAAGTAAAGGGCCTTTTCACACACTTCCAGGTGTATTAGGCATATAGGGCTAGACCTATATTTTATAGCTCAATCGGCACTTGGTGGGTGATGTGTGGTCAACATCACACCAGCCGCCTTTACCTCCCAGGACTTTACCTGGTACCCATTTAAGGCTGGGTCGACCTGTGAGCCAAGGTCATTTGTGAAATAAAGTCTGGCTCTGCCAAGACCCGAACCCACGCCTTTCGGATCGGCAGGTGAGCATTCACATTTATAGACAGTATCACTAATTATATAAGTAAACATTATTCATGAAGTTGTAATGATAAATGTATTTAGAGAAATTTAGCAGTAAAGCTTGCCTCGGTACATTCTGTCTGTGTGTTTTTCTTTTTCAACAAACAACTAATGCACTCTTTGATACACTTTGTCTCTGTTCAATATTTTTGTTCAAACAATCAATTACTGTATTCTGTGAGTTTCTAGTACAAGCTAGTTTTTTTCAACAGCTACTGTATTCTACAACACACACCCTCTCCAGCATAACCTAGCTGTTCAAACAAATACTGAATTCTACAATACACGATGTCTCTCATACAAATTCAAACAAACAGCTATTGTATTTTCCAATACACACTGTCTCTAGCACAACCTAGCTGTTCAAACTACTACAATATAGTCTGTTTCTAAAACAACCTAGTTGCTCAATCACATAAGTGTTACCAAGCTCACATGGGTATATTGTTCAGGACAAGCAGGCATGCAAGGCAGTGAAAGCGCAGATTGTTTGGCTGCTAAAGTGACAGGGGTAGGGACACTAATACTGGACAAGGCAGACATTCTGAAGACCTTTCATGAATGAATGCTGACTGCAGATACAATGAAAGAAGAAGCAAAAGGTGAAAGGTTGCACAAATTTGGAATAAATTGTGGATCCAACAAAGAAAGGATTTATGAGAAGAAGAGCACAACTGGGATGTCAGTTCAACAAGAATAGACCATAATTCCTCTTCAGCCTTACAAAAAATGTCACAATTAAGGATATAGGCTAGATAGATATTTGGTAAGCTTTAAAAGTGTCATGAAGCTACCTAAAATCCTTCAGGTAACCATTTAGTTTGACTCCAAAAACACTTCAATATTCCTTAGCGATACATTTGGTTGCCCAAAACATTTGATGTAAATGCTTGTAATAAATGAAGAAAGCTGCCATTAAAAAAAAGAGCTCACACAGTGAGCAACAATTTATAAATTTAAATGCAATGATTATTAAACCAAACAATACAATAAAAAAAAAAGGGAAACAACAACACTTTCAAGTAACAATTACCTCCCACAAGAAGGGGGGACAACTAAACTTCAAAACAAAAGTTATCTCACTTATTTCATAACATACTTCTGAAGAAGTTTTGTTTGGAAATTATAGTTTAAAACAGAAAGAATATAAGAAAGTTATAGTTTCTACCTTCAAAGCAGAAACAAAATGAAATATTTCAGTTTCACACCAAGTTCCTGTCACAAAATAAAACAGATAATCCCTTAACCATCTTTCCTAGATTCCTTGTCTATTGAAAAAAAAAACAAAACTAAAAAGAGGGAATGGATAGTAGTCTATCAGTACTTTCTACATCTTCTTCTTCTCTTCCACCATATACCTCAGTGAGGTGTTAGGGGGAGATGTAAGGATAATTTGTGGGGTTTTCTCTACAACTTGACAATGCCAAACCAACACACAAGAACACCTGGCTACAGAGTGCCCGATCTAACTATTTTTTAAAATGGCTGAATGATCTTTTAGGGATTTTGTTCTCTCGAACTCACATTCAAATAGGGACTGTTTGAATCAACAGGTTTCAATATTTCAGGCTACAAACCCAGAGAAATAAAAAAAAAAAAAAAATAACTAAGGATAACAAAAACAAATAACAAGAAAAGATAAATTTATGAGATAAGAGAAAAGTGAAATTACTTACTGTACATCTAATAAAACTGAAGTATTCATCCTACTAAAAGCTAATCATAAAGTACAACAGGTCCAATTTCAAAAAAAAAAAAAAAAAGGAAACATGGTTCAAGAATAATAAGGGAAATATTTGAACACTTTAGTGTCACATGTTCAGCTTCAAAAAAAAAAAAAAATTTTCATTGGAAGGAATAAAATAAAATATTCAACATGGAGAGAAGAAGCTCAGGCTTTCATGTTGAAAACAGCAGGGGAAGGTGAAAAATTGGGGGTGATACTTAACTGGGTTTAATCTCAGAAGCAATGTGAATGGTGTTGATGGTAAGGATGATGATGATGGTAATGAGCAATGTAAACTTCAACATAAATACACAGGTAAAAAATAAGCTGTAATATGAAACAATTCATGGTTTAAAATGTACAAACAATGGAAAGAGATCATGTAGGTATTGGAGATACAGGATAATATGTGCAGAGTAATACTGGATGAGTATTTGTTGAGGATTTATTGTGTTATGTGTTGATAATATGTGGTCCAATATTGGTACATGCATATAATAAAGGCCAAAGAGACACAGAACACTGAATAAGAGGTCCAAGAAAAAAAACACACACACACACTAAACATGACATCACAGAGAACAAGGAAAACTACAGAGAAAGCCAATGAAGAAACAGAATGTCACAGAGGACATAAAACACTGAACAAGAGGATACAGAACACTACACAAAAGGTAAAAAAGGACACATAACATTACACAAGAGATGAAAGAGGGCAGAACACTACACAAGAGATCAAAGAGGACAAATTACCACATAAGAGATTAAAGAGGACAGAACAATACACAAGAGAACAAAGAGGATTGAATATTACACAGCATTTGGAAAGACAGAGAACATTAAGATGGCAGAGAAGCAACATGTCTTATGTCAGACAGGGCACATATATTTAAAAGCAACAATATAGTTTTGAAACAATATATCAGGTGAGAATTAGGAATATAACATAAAACACTGTAAAATTACCTCTTTTATCAACTGTTAGTATATAATTTTTATAACACATGTAATCAGGTAAGTACATAACTGGATTGTATTAGAGTTCAAACTCTGTTACACGTGTAAGTGGAAATGTTAAAGTGTGTTACTGTTTCAGGTCTGCCTGATGTTAAGATCTCATTTTGTCGCTGAAAGATGTAACATACTTACAACTGCACAGACAGAACACAGACTGAAACTCTAAATTGTGCAACAGAAGGTAGAATCTCATATATGAAAAGTATTCACAAATCGATTTATGGGCAAAATGAATAAATATAAACATATTAAAGTAAAGGGTATCCCCATGTGGTAGGAGCTCCACTAAGGGCTGGGGAGGGGGGGGGGGAAGAAACACCGACAGACCTACTGCCCCGACATTCCTAACAAGTATGTAGCAAACAATGACTTATTAGGAAAGTTTCCTTCAAAGTCAGGGCATCTGCCTGAGAGACAAGGAACCAACAGTCTGCATATAAATAAGCTAGATATGAAGAACAGATGTGCATGCAAAACTCAAGTTCTGGAACCAGACCAAAGTCCAGAAGTAGACAATCAATCAAAACTCTGTGCTGCAGTTTACAGCTGATCAATGCGAATAAGAAGAAGATTACAGCAAAGCACCTTCTTCACACCAGTGGCACATCGGGCATACGATGCTGGATCTTTTATAGACCAAACAGCACCAGGCAGGTGATGTCTTTATCATCAGTTTGGCCTCCTTTACTTTCCAGAACATTATCTGGTACCCAGTTTAGGCTGGGTCGACCTGGGACCCATATTCCACCACAGTGCAGATTTGAACCTTAGACCATCAGGTTGGCAAGTGGATGGATGTCTAGCCATTTGGCCAATGCAACCCCATATAAACATATTAATGCTGACAATAAATAGTGAATGATCAAGCCGATAAACCATAAAGCATTGAGAATGTCACCTAAAAAGTTTAAACTTAAAAAGTAAAACCTAAAAAGTAGATGAATCAAACAAAAGTAGAAAATAAAGGAGGATTTAGGAAACATTTACTGGGGGGCGGTTGTCATGATTTTTTTGAGAACTTGTATCTGATTTTATGAAATATGGGTGTGGTTGTAGACAGGTGTGGGTGTAAGCAGGTGAGGGTGTAAGCAGGTGAGGGTGTAAGCAGGTGAGGGTGTAAGCAGGTGAGGGTGTAAGCAGGTGCAGGTGTAAACAAGTGTGGAAGTAAACAGATGTTGATGTAGACAGAAACACTGATCAAGCAACTGTCTGGTCCTGTGTTGGAGCCACAACATAAAAGAGTGACTTAGTGACAATATGACAAGAGTGACAATATAAAGTGATCTTGTGACAAGAGTGACAATATGAAGTGATCTTGTGACAAGAGTGTCAATATAAAGTGATCTTGTGACAAGAGTGACAATATGAAGTGATCTTGTGACAAGAGTGACAATATGAAGTGATCTTGTGACAATACAGCGTGATCTTGTGACAAGAGTGACAATATGAAGTGATCTTGTGACAAGAGTGACAATACAGCGTGATCTTGTGACAAGAGTGACAATATGAAGTGATCTTATGGCAAGAGTGACAATATGAAGTGCTCTTGAAACAAGAGTGACAATATGAAGTGATCTTGTGACAATATGACAGAATGATTTTGTTGCAGCAACTGTGGCTACTAAAAAACGATGTACAATGAAAAAAAAAAAAAGACAGTCTGAGATGATAAAAACTCTTGCCGCACAGCTAAATAATTGCAGGGAAACTGAACTCTCTCAAGCAAATCACTGACATCATCTAACACCTCTCAATCCAAATAAAAGGGTTCTCATGTTTGCATATTCTGGTCCTCAAAATATGAAGACCAAAAAACAAAAAAACAAAACACGATGGTTTTTGTTCTAAGGTATGAAAGCCCATTCTTGGGATAATACACAAAAATTTTACCGGCGATTTCAACAAACTCTGGTTATAAGGAAAAGAAATACAAGATTAATTTTCACATATTGATTTTACAAATGGTAATTTTCCATAAGGAACACAACAGTTAAATTTATCTACAACAGAATAATTTATTCTTAAAAAGGACTATAGATAGGGAAAAAACAAAATAAATGCCAGCTTTACAGAAACAATAAAAAAAAAAAAAAAAAGGGCGTACCGCGTTTAGCATTCATCAGCAAATGACAAGAAACAAACAAAACATACAAATATAAACTACTCTGAAATGACAACAATTAAAAAAAAAAATTATGTCAACAAATGAAAAAAATGGACTACAGACACTGTGGATACACATAAAGAAGAACATCGATAAATATACAGAAGAATGTAAATAAAAACACAAAGGCTGGCAAAGTGAGTTGTTTAACCCTCTGAACCCTGACTCCACCGGTATTCAGTGATTCTGTAGCTGAGCACCCCAAGGGTTATCTCACATCTGGTATCTCAGTCCCATCAGATGTCCCTCAACAAGAAATGATAACAGTTCCCTGCTGTAGGCTGGCGGATTTATTACAGAGAAGACAGGGGCCAGGTACGGACACAAGACTGGGACATGTAGAGACAAAATATAGGGGCATGTATGGATGAAAGATTAAGGCATGTGTGGACACAAGATAGGGGCATGTATGGACAAAAGATTGGGGGTATGCATGGATGAAAGATTTAGGCATGTGTGGACACAAGATTGGAGCATGTATGGATAAAAGATTGGGGCATGAATGGACAAAAGATTGGGGCATGAATGGACAAAAGATTGGGACATGTGTGGACAAAAGATTGGGGCATGAATGGATAAAAGATTAGGGCATGTGTGGACAAAAGATTGGGGCATGAATGGACAAAAGATTAGGGCATGTATGGACAAAAGATTGGGGCATGAATGGATAAAAGACTGGGGCATGTATGGACAAAAGATTGGGGCATGTGTGGACAAAAGATTGGGGCATGTATGGACAAAAGATTGGGGCATGAATGGATAAAAGATTGGGGCATGTATGGACAAGATTGGGGCATGAATGGATAAAAGACTGAGGCATGTGTGGACAAAAGATTGGGGCATACATTGACAAAAGATTGGGGCATGTATGGACAAAAGATTGGGGCATGTATGGACAAAAGATTGGGGCATGTAAGGACAAAATATTGGGGCATGTATGGACAAAAGATTGGGGCATGAATGGATAAAAGACTGGGGCATGTATGGACAAAAGATTGGGGCATGTATGGACAAAAGATTGGGGCATACATGGACAAAAGATTGGGGCATGTGTGGACAAAAGATTGGGATATGTATGGACAAATGACTGGAGTTCTATGGACACACCAGTGATGATAAACTGAACTGGAGTCAATCTCACATCAACCACAGCAAGAAGGAGAGGAAATATGGCTGAGTTCCACTAAATTTTGTTCTGAATATAAAGCAGAGGTTCACGCTACAGAGCAAGTTCTAACAATTATTTATAGCCCACAACAGTGAGCTAGGGATTATGGAACATTATGAAATGGTGCTTGGCAAACAACAGAAAGCTTACGGCTGTATTACAAAATAGCACACCCCCCTCCCCCCAATACAGGGCTTATGGAGCATAATGAGATGTTGCTTTGCAAACAACAGAGGGTTTTCAGTACTTAGCAAAATAACACCCAGCCCACAATAGAGAGCTAAGGTATATTATGAAATAGCACCCAGCCAGGAGCCAATTATACAGTCTTAAAATAGTTTATTGTGAAACTGCTCAGCCAACAATAGTGAGTTTTGGGGTTCAAAGGATTATAACAGTGGGCACAGACACAAAACACATGAAGTTAGAAGTGTTATGGAGAGAACAGACTTACTCATTCTAGCTACATCTTGGCAATTACGAAGGTTTCACAAAAGAAAAAGACAAGTTACACATGGCATCTGACAAGTAGAACAGTATTAATCCAGATGTTTGAAACAAATATCTCAGATGAAAATATGACGAGACAAATCACCCATTAAGTTAGAGATGGAATCAAACATGAACAACAATATGAAGTGCAACAATGAACAATTACATGGGGACTGTGTGTGCAAAAGTCCTTGCTTTAGAATTCACTCTAATGTTATACACATGTTTTAAAATTTATCGGAGACAGATTTAAAAGATGTAGAACAGTATAAGAGTAGCATCTGGCTGAGTAGTTAGAGCACTAGTTTTCATATTGGAGACCCCGGTTTGAATTCTCGGTCAGCCAATGGAATTCAAAACAATCCGGAACAAAAATGCATTCTTAACCTCTATTTCGTTTGCCATGTAGGTTCCACAGAAATTAATTCTTGTTGCCAGTATTCTATCACCACCTCTTTATTTAAGCTTTCCCCTTAAGTTCTGCAGTAACCATTTTGCAGTACTAATCTATGACTCCGATTCTATAAAATTAATTTTCATGTAAGAAAGAAGAATCAAACATAAGACACAATGATTGGGATAGATAGTTAAAGAATGAAGATATAACTGAGTCCTATTTCAATCATCTAAAATCTCTAAATACTAAACCGGTAGGGACTTCTGGCACTCTCCGTGAACAAATACTGTGAGAGAAGTATACAGATACATTTATATATAGGTTGCATACCTCGACAAGGATCGTTCTTCACCAAGAACTCGTCCAGGGCGATCCAGCCACCACCAACCCTCACCATGACTGTACTACGTAGGATTCGAACCAGTCGTAACTTCTGAGAATCTCCAAACTATGAAAACAATAGATAAAATATTGTAAATATAAAGTATCAGTTGAGATTAGAATAGAGACATCTTCCTATCAACAGGCACAACTTTCACCATTTCTGTATTCTAACAGTGCAATAACTGTTTCTTAATATGTTTTCTATAAAATGCTTTTTACATGTTCCAAATAACACATTCATTTTAATATATTCTCTACAGTACACTGGTATCTATGATTTAGGGGTTATGAATGCAGTTTTATAATTCTGACGTATCAGGTTTGATTCAGCTGAAGGTAATACAGGGAGCAAACCACTTAGCATTGACTAAAACAGGGTATCAGTGAGTAACCATTTAAAATGCCATGGTACAACTACCTAGTAAAACAATATTTGCTTACCTGCGGATATAAAATTTGCATAGTGCTGGATTTTTTTCAAACAACCCTGGCTCCAAGGTGGACCCAGACCTAAATGGGTACCAGGTAAAGGTCCGGGAAGTAAAGGCAGTTGGCTTGTTGTTGACGTCACCCATCGAGGGCCGACAGGTCTATAACGAAAAATATGCGTCTAGCCTCACATGCCCCATGTGCCACTGGCGTGTAAAGAGAACTTTACTAGTGAAACTAGCGCTGGGCTTGTTCTGAGACACGTGATGAAGGATAGAGAACCAACTTTCTTTCAAACTCTGTCACACATGATCTTCTTCTTCTTCTTTGCGTTCCGTTTTGTATGCTCCGCTCAGACCATCAGGTGGTTTGCCTCCATGAACTCGCAAGTCAGTAGCAGGTCCTTCATGGTTCCCCATAGCTTGCTCTGCAAACTTTGCTCTTGAGGTCAGGTTTATTTTCGTAGTTGTAGTTAGAGTGGGCAGGTCTGCAGAATGTGGGGACTGTACAGTCTTTATTTTATGCTTGTGGTAGTTGAGCCTGCAGTGTCCTGTTCATGGAGCACATTAGGTCACACTGCCTATACAACATGCCACACCCACAAGATTTTATTTAAAACAAATTCTCTGTAAAAAATTTTGATCTAAATGTTGAATTTAGAAGCACATCACAGCACTTGGGACACTCCTTTAAGCGCTCTGTTCCCATCTTCAGCAGCAAACCAAAAGTTCCAATTCCGATGGCCCCAGTAACTGTCTGATTGTACATCAGTCTCGCCCCTTCCCTGAGTGTTGAGCGTCTGTCAGATCCCCTGGCACAGCCATTCTCCTCAGACCGTAATGATCTATCTGCGCCTCTGCACTGTTCACTAGCTCCTAGCGGGCCCTCACAACGTCTAGCTTGTCATACATTAATTCATCACCAAATGGTGGAGAACCAGCCAGTCTATCTACCTGTTCATTTCCCAACACACTGCCATGACCTAGAAAGAATATCCAAAGGAAACGAACTAATAAAAAATTGCATCCCATATGGGGACGACTTTCATAGAAAAAAAAGTAAAAAAAAAAAGAAAGTAAAGGATCCTTTCCGCGCCTTTAGGCGTATAGGGCATATAGGGCTAGACCTATATTTTTATAGACCAACGGCACAAGATGGGTGATGTCAGCATCATGCTGGCCGTCCCTACTTCCCGAGACTGCACCCGGTACCCACTCAAGGCTGGGTCAACCTGGGAGCCAAGGTCATTTTTTTTGAAGAAAAGTCCGGCTCGGCCAGGGAGCGAACCCACGACCTTCCGATGCGAGGCGCATGCCTAGCCGCTCTGCCACGGCAACTCCCTTTCATAGAAAAGCTAAAAAAAAAAAAAGGGATCAAACCATTTAATGCAAAAGGCTCCAATGTAACAGATCAGTGCCAGCATAGCCAAATGTGTTCAGAAAATGTAGCAAACGATGATGATGATGACAAAAAAAAAAAAAAATGCCAGTGCAGTTGTGGGAGATGATGGCAGAACTCACCCGGTACTTCCCTTCACCAATCTTGTGTATCTTGAACTGCTTCATACAGGTACACTTGGACACCTGCCTTCTGACCTCATCCAGGATCTTCTCAGAGTCTGTTTCTGGCTTGGGCTGGGGACAGTCAGATGGTCATGTCAACCTTCCATGACACAATGTATGGACAATGTGATCAACAAGACACAACAGACCTGTAGTGAACAGACTGGGCAAATATCTAAGGACAGGTTAGGCACATCTGATCTTCCTCTTCTTCAACATCCTGATCCATGATGTGGTTGGTTCAGAAACTCCTGCAAAAGCAGGCAACTATTATTCATGATGAAATGAGGCTTTACAAAGGTGGGGTTTTTGGTCCCAGTCTTCAATCCCCAATACTGAAGGACCAGTATATCTCTCTTTATCTGCTCTCCACCCATTGACCGTCTAGCTTGGGAAGCCCTGCAGGCAGTTACGTTAGCACTGACACATCTCTAGGGCCACTAAGAAACACACGTTTCCTTACTGCAGCAAGATGTGAAGACATCTCTAGTGGTTTGGAAGGGGTGAAAGGAGGGGGGGGGGGGGGGATATAGATCATACATTGAGAAAAGTCTAATAATAATATAACACCAACCATGTAGCCAAACACACTCACATAACACCGACCATGTAGCCAAACACAATTACATAACACCAACCATGTAGCCAAACAGGCTCACATAACACCAACCATGTAGCCAAACACATTCATATAACACCAACCATGTAGCCAAACAGACTCACATAACACCAACCATGTAGCCAAACACACTCACATAACACCAATCATGTAGCCAAACACACTCACATAACACCAACCATGTAGCCAAACAGACTTACATCTCTATCAGGTCTGAGAGCAGCCACAAACTCCTTGTAGTTGATAAAACCATCTCCATCTCTGTCAAAGATGTCTGCCACAGCTTCCATCTCCAGCCTTGAGGTAGGGAATTCTGCAAATGGCAGCACAAAAAACATGATTATATTTTATCTCTCACTTCTTTTTTCAAAACTGATCTTGTCTCCCAAGTCAACCCAGCCTAAAAATGGATCCCAGGAAATGACTTGAGAAACAAAGGTGGCCGGTGTGGTGCTGACCACATCACCCAACCAAGGCTCATCTTCTTCTTTTGTCATCTCACTGTTAAAAGGTTGAAGCCACGTGTCGTGGTTTTCTGTATTTGTCTTGCGCTTCTCGGGTGGCTTGAGTTGATGGATTTGTTTAACTTTTTACAGATTTCATCTACACCATTTATCCATCTCTTTCTTGGTCTTCCTCTCCTTCCTTCCAGATGTTCTACTGTCAAAAGTCTCATATGCAGTCTGGCCTTGGGCATGCAACCATAAAGTCCACTGTATTTGTCCATCGAAGGCTGAGCAGACAATCAACAGCAGCCGGTGACCCAATGACACCCAGTGTTGTGGGATGACGATGATAATGACTATGTTACCACGGCTCCCCAAGCATCCTTTACTCTTCCTTAATGACGTACAGGCACATCAACTACTTACTGGACTGGAGGATTCCATCGATGAACTCCTGTCTGGTCACTCGTCCGTCCCGGTCATGGTCTTGTCTCCTGAAGAAGTCCATGATCCGAGCCTTGTTGTGGTTCATCCAGCGCAGGTAGCGTTTACGCCAGTCTTCAAAATCAAAGTTTTTCATCCTCTCCACCTGTCAACAGGACAGATACACATGTCAACACAACTGATCATAAAATCTCCTCATTGCTAAAAAAACATGGCCTAATTATCGGAAACATTTTTCCTTGACTTATGACCAACCATCCGCACTTTTGACCACCAAAAGAAATATAAAAATTTGATTATATATTTATATCAACAGTAAATATAGACAACCACATTTCTAGGGACAAAAACTTCCTGGAAATAATACCAAGAGCATCATAAATGGGCGTATAAACAAGAATTACACATACACTAACTTGTTGTGCTTTATGGTCAGTCTACTAACCTTATTTAAGTAATCTGGTCAGTCTACTAACCTTATTTAAGTAATCTGGTCAGTCTACTAACCTCATTTAAGTAATCTGGTCAGTCTACTAACCTCATTTAAGTAATCTGGTCAGTCTACTAACCTCATTTAAGTAATCTGGTCAGTCTACTAACCTCATTTAAGTAATCTGGTCAGTCTACTAACCTCATTTAAGTAATCTGGTCAGTCTACTAACCTCATTTAAGTAATCTGGTCAGTCTACTAACCTCATTTAAGTAATCTGGTCAGTCTACTAAACTCATTTAAGTAATCTGGTCAGTCTACTAACCTCATTTAAGTAATCTGGTCAGTCTACTAACCTCATTTAAGTAATCTGGTCAGTCTACTAACCTCATTTAAGTAATCTGGTCAGTCTACTAACCTCATTTAAGTAATCTGGTCAGTCTACTAACCTACTAAATCCTTATTTAAGTAATCTGGTCAGTCTACTAACCTTATTTAAGTAATCTGGTCAGTCTACTAACCTTATTTAAGTAATCTGGTCAGTCTACTAACCTTATTTAAGTAATCTGGTCAGTCAACTAACCTCATTTAAGTAATCTGGTCAGTCTACTAACCTCATTTAAGTAATCTGGTCAGTCTACTAACCTCATTTAAGTAATCTGGTCAGTCTACTAACCTCATTTAAGTAATCTGGTCAGTCTACTAACCTCATTTAAGTAATCTGGTCAGTCTACTAACCTTATTTAAGTAATCTGGTCAGTCTACTAACCTTATTTAAGTAATCTGGTCAGTCTACTAACCTTATTTAAGTAATCTGGTCAGTCTACTAACTTTATTTAAGTAATCTGGTCAGTCTACTAACCTCATTTAAGTAATCTGGTCTACTAACCTCATTTAAGTAATCTGGTCAATCTACTAACCTCATTTAAGTAATCTGGTCAATCTACTAACCTCATTTAAGTAATATTGTCAATTTACTAAACTCATTTAAGTAATCTGGTCAGTCTACTAACCTCATTTAAGTAATCTAGAGCATCTTGTAATTTCCTCTGTCTGTACATGGACAACAACCAAACTTGTCTCCATTTGTTGAAGAGTGCACCCACACGAGGGTTATAAAAACCAGGTTCTGGAGTTCTGCGCCCTGAAAGTATATCTGGTGTACGACGACCAGAAGTATGGTCAGGTGTTTTTCTGCCAGAATGGTCTGGTGTCATGCGGCCAGAGACATCGGGAGTCCTGCGGCCAGACACATCTGGTGTTCTACGACCGGATACATCTGGAGTTCTGCGACCGCTAATATTTGGGGTTCGTTGGCCATGGAAATGCTCCGGAGTCTTTCTACCGAAGTAGTCTGGAGTCTTCCTGCCTGAGCTGTCCACCCGATCAATTCTGAAATAAACCAGAAAAGAGACAATCAAAATGAAGTATTTTTATTCTGTTCAATTGTCGTGAATGATATTAACTTTCTTCATGTCAGTATTTCTGTCAGCCATGGAGAGGAAATGTCTAGAAGGGCCACAGGAGTGACCAGAAGAGAAAAGAAATTAGGGATGAGATCATAAGTGAGGAAAAAAAATTTACATTCAAAAACTGCAAATCTGCCCACTTAGAGAGACTGCCTTGTGACGCCTGACCATTCAAGGCATACACCACAAGAAAAGAAGGATGTAGAGCAGAAGGCACACCAAGAACAAGATGGCAACATAAAATAAGAGAAAATCTACAAAAGCATAATGTATCTATGGTGGAGGCAGCCAGAAGAGCAAGAAGCAAAACCTTATATCTTATGCAGATGATTTGTCTTGCATTGGTTTCGACAGTGGTACCGACAGCTGACCGTTCAGAAGCAATGGCAATCTACTGAATGTAAAATACAAAAACTAACTGTAACTATGCCACACCCAAGTATCAGTAAATCTTAATGAGCTACAAATATGGGGGGGGGGGGGAAGAGGAGGGAGGGAGGGAGAGAGAGAGAGGAGGGAGGGAGGGAGAGAGAGGGGAGGGAGGGATGTAGGAAGAGAAAGAGGAGGGAGGGAGGAAGAGAGAGAAAGGAGGGAGGGAGAGAGGGAAGGAGAGAGAGAGAGAAGGGAGGGAGAGAGAGAGAGAAAGAGAGAGAGAGAGCAAATGAATGAATTATCCCATAAACAAACACAATTACCGGATGGTAGGAATCTTGGACCTGGCTGAGCCTCTGGCCCCCCTGAAGACTGGAATGTGAGAACCTGTGTCTGAGCCGGACTTCCTCTTGTCAGCTTTGGTCAAGCGGTCAACACTGGGCTGTTTAGATGACATTTCATTCTGGAAATCCTGTAAGCCACACACAGTGTGAGGTCAATGAGAATTGGGATATCAACATTTTACAAAACTGACAACAATTGCTGTAACAGAAACATAAACCACAGACATTATTCATGTTACTGCTAGCAACAGAGATAGAAATGCAATGTTTGGAGCAGCCGCAGTAGTATAATTGTTATTGTAGCAACAGGAGTTGTAGTAGCAGTAGTAGTAATTGTGGTAGTTGTAGCAGCTGTAGAGCAGTAGCTGTAGTAGTAACTGTGGTAGTTTTAGCAGCTGTAGAGCAGTATTTGTAGTAGCAGTAGTAATAATTGTGGTAGTTGTAGCAGCAGTAGAGCAGTAGCTATAGTAGTAATGGCAGTAGTTGTAGCAGCAGTAGTAGTAATTGTGGTAGTTGCAACAGCAGCAGTTGTAGTATCAGTATCAGTAACTGTGGAAGCTGTGAGAGGACATTTAAACCATAAACATTACACTTTCTGTGAGAGGAACATTAAACACATTACACATTCTGTCAGAAGGACATTTAAAACATACATGTCAAGCGTAAAGATTACACATTCCGTGAGAGGACATTACACATTCTGTTGAAGGGAAATTTAAACCATAAACATTACACAATCTATGAAAATGACAATTTTTATCTTCTTTCAGGTGTACTTTGAAAACCTAAACATAACATGTTTAAACAGACAAACCCATTTTTTTTCTGAATTTGCCAACAGAGGGACAGAAAATGCAAAACTTTTCTAACAGATGGACATAGAAAACACAAACAGGTTCTAACAGATGGACATAGAAAACACAAACATGTTCTAACAGATGGACACAGAAAACACAAACATATTCTAACAGATGGACACAGAAAACACAAACATGTTCTAACAGATGGATATAGAAAACACAAACATGTTCTAACAGATGGACATAGAAAACACAAACATGTTCTAACACAAGGACACAGAAAACACAAACATGTTCTAACAGATGGACATAGAAAACACAAACAGGTTCTAACAGATGGACACAGAATTCACAAACATGTTCTAACAGATGGACACAGAAAACACAAACATGTTTTAACAGATGGACACAGAAAACACAAACATGTTCTAACAGATGGACACAGAAAACACAAACATGTTCTAACAGATGGACACAGAAAACACAAACATGTTCTAACAGATGGACACAGAAAACACAAACATGTTCTAACAGATGGACATAGAAAACACAAACATGTTCTAACACAAGGACACAGAAAACACAAACATGTTCTAACAGATGGACATAGAAAACACAAACAGGTTCTAACAGATGGACACAGAATTCACAAACATGTTCTAACAGATGGACACAGAAAACACAAACATGTTTTAACAGATGGACACAAAAAACACAAACATGTTCTAACAGATGGACATAGAAAACACAAACATGTTCTAACAGATGGACATAGAAAACACAAACAGGTTCTAACAGATGGACATAGAAAACACAAACAGGTTCTAACAGATGGACATAGAAAACACAAACATGTTCTAACAGATGGACACAGAAAACACAGACATGTTCTAACAGATGGACAAAGAATTCACAAACATGTTCTAACAGATGGACACAGAAAACACAAACATGTTTTAACAGATGGACACAGAAAACACAAACATGTTCTAACAGATGGACATAGAAAACACAAACATGTTCTAACAGATGGACACAGAAAACACAAACATGTTCTAACAGATGGACATAGAAAACCCAAACATGTTCTAACAGATGGACACAGAAAACACAAACATGTTCTAACAGATGGACATAGAAAACACAAACATGTTTTAACAGATGGACACAGAAAACACAAACATGTTCTAACAGATGGACACAGAAAACACAAACATGTTTTAACAGATGGACACAGAAAACACAAACATGTTCTAACAGATGGACATAGAAAACACAAACATGTTCTAACAGATGGACACAGAAAACACAAACATGTTCTAACAGATGGACATAGAAAACACAAACATGTTCTAACAGATGGACACAGAAAACACAAACATGTTCTAACAGATGGACACAGAAAACACAAACATGTTCTAACAGATGGACACAGAAAACACAAACATGTTCTAACAGATGGACACAGAAATCACAAACATGTTCTAACAGATGGACACAGAAAACACAAACATGTTCTAACAGATGGACATAGAAAACACAAACATGTTCTAACTGATGGACATAGAAAACACAAACATGTTCTAACAGATGGACGCAGAAAACACAAACATGTTTTAACAGATGGACACAGAAAACACAAACATATTCTAACAGATGGACACAGAAAACACAAACATGTTCTAACAGATGGACACAGAAAACACAAACATGTTCTAACAGATGGACATAGAAAACACAAACATGTTCTAACAGATGGACATAGAAAACACAAACATGTTCTAACAGATGGACATAGAAAACACAAACATGTTCTAACAGATGGACATAGAAAACACAAACATGTTCTAACAGATGGACATAGAAAACACAAACATGTTCTAACAGATGGACATAGAAAACACAAACATGTTCTAACAGATGGACATAGAAAACACAAACATGTTCTAACAGATAGACATAGAAAACACAAACATGTTCTAACAGATGGACATAGAAAACACAAACATGTTCTAACAGATGGACACAGAAAACACAAACATGTTCTAACAGATGGACGCAGAAAACACAAACATATTCTAACAGATGGACACAGAAAACACAAACATGTTCTAACAGATGGACATAGAAAACACAAACATGTTCTAACAGATGGACACAGAAAACACAAACATGTTCTAAAAGATGGACATAGAAAACACAAACATGTTCTAACAGATGGACACAGAAAACACAAACATGTTCTAACAGATGGACACAGAAAACACAAACATGTTCTAACAGATGGACACAGAAAACACAAACATGTTCTAACAGATGGACATAGAAAACACAAACATGTTCTAACAGATGGACATAGAAAACACAAACATGTTCTAACAGATGGACACAGAAAACACAAACATGTTCTAACAGATGGACACAGAAAACACAAACATGTTCTAACAGATGGACATAGAAAACACAAACATGTTCTAACAGATGGACACAGAAAACACAAACATGTTCTAACAGATGGACACAGAAAACACAAACATGTTCTAACAGATGGACACAGAAAACACAAACATGTTCTAACAGATGGACACAGAAAACACAAACATGTTTTAACAGATGGACACAGAAAACACAAACATGTTCTAACAGAAGGACACAGAAAACACAAACATGTTCTAACAGAAGGACACAGAAAACACAAACATGTTCTAACAGATGGACACAGAAAACACAAACATGTTCTAACAGATGGACACAGAAAACACAAACATGTTCTAAAAGATGGACATAGAAAACACAAACATGTTCTAACAGATGGACACAGAAAACACAAACATGTTCTAACAGATGGACACAGAAAACACAAACATGTTCTAACAGAAGGACACAGAAAACACAAACATGTTCTAACAGAAGGACACAGAAAACACAAACATGTTCTAACAGATGGACATAGAAAACAAAAACATGTTCTAACAGATGGACATAGAAAACACAAACATGTTCTAACAGATGGACACAAAAAACACAAACATGTTCTAACAGATGGACATAGAAAACACAAACATGTTCTAACAGATGGACACAGAAAACACAAACATGTTCTAACAGATGGACATAGAAAACACAAACATGTTCTAACAGATGGACACAGAAAACACAAACATGTTCTAACAGATGGACATAGAAAACACAAACATGTTCTAACAGATGGACATAGAAAACACAAGCATGTTCTAACAGATGGACATAGAAAACACAAACATGTTCTAACTGATGGACACAGAAAACACAAACATGTTCTAACAGATGGACATAGAAAACGCAAACATGTTCTAACATATGGACATAGAAAACACAAACATGTTCTAACAGATGGACATAGAAAACACAAACATGTTCTAACAGATGGACATAGAAAACACAAGCATGTTCTAACAGATGGACATAGAAAACACAAACATGTTCTAACTGATGGACACAGAAAACACAAACATGTTCTAACAGATGGACATAGAAAACGCAAACATGTTCTAACATATGGACATAGAAAACACAAACATGTTCTAACAGATGGACATAGAAAACACAAACATGTTCTAACAGATGGACATAGAAAACACAAACATGTTCTAACAGATGGACATAGAAAACACAAACATGTTCTAACAGATGGACATAGAAAACACAAACCTGGTGTTGAGCAATCAGATCCTGGATGACCTGCAAATCTTTGGGAATGATTTCCCTGTCAAGATCGGTCAACTTGATTTCTGCAGCATTCAGCCAAGCCAGCAGCTCTTCCAGAAGTGAGCTGTTGAGTCTGGCATTGGTCAGCGCTTCTGAGAGTCTTCGCTGCCTCTGTCTGCTTAGTGCCATCAGCTGAGAATAGACAGAATTCAAACACTGAAGACAGAATTCAAACACTGAAGACAGAATTCAAACACTGTAGACAGAATTCAAACACTGTAGACAGAATTCAAACACTGAAGACAGAATTCAAACACTATCTACAGAATTCAAACACTTAAGACATAATTCAAACACTATAGACATAACTCAAACACTATAGACAGATTTCAAACACTATAGACATAATTCAAACACTATAGACATAATTCAAACACTGAAGACAGAATTCAAACACTGAAGAGCTAGCTACATTAGAAGACAAGCCTGTTGGGACTGAATATTTAGTACTGTGGTTGTTGAATGCAAAAGAAGAAGAAAAACATAGATAATCCTCTGTTAGACACATGCAGGAATGTGTATGGAAATGAAAGAAGACTAAGTTTAAGCTCTATTTCTTTACCAGCTTCTCTAACTACTTGTACACCAAGAAGTTCTAGCTAAAAACAGCCAATGTCTGAATCAGGAGTCAATGTGGGGTAGAAGAAGTGAACAGACAGAAATTAGTTAATGTCCACAAAAGAAGAGAGACATAAAAGAATATGGTCTTTGGATTAAACAACAAACATATGAGAGTCACACCTGTTGAAAGACAAGTAAAATGAAATGACATTTTTTTCCTATTTAATTACATTAATTGAAGCTACACAGCTAGATAATGAAGTCATTTGAGAATAGATACAGCATCAAGTGAAAGACCTAATAAAGTCATTTAAGAAAAGATACAGCATCAAGTGACTGAAGAATCAATAACATGACAAAAGTCATTTAATATCTTGAGGTTTGAACAACGAATCAACAACATGGCACACGGGTAGTGCTCCATAAGTGCTCCATTCTTCTTCTAACTCAAGTCTGAGTCCGAACAAGTTCAGCACAGTGCACAGGCTCTGTAGCACCGGCAAGGATCCTGAAATACTTTGGGTAGAATTTAAACTCCAAATTTTTGTCGGGCAGCAAAGGATTTTTAAATGCGCAACAATGCACATGGGCGTCCGATCTCACTACCCAGAGACCAGGGGGAATTACTAGAAGTCCAAGTCAACATAAAAAAAATCCCAGCCATTACCGGGGATTGAACCCGGCACCTCTAGCACTCGAGGCGGACACCATGCCTCCAGACCATGCAGTCCCCCTCTAAACAGACTTGCTATAGCAATGCACAGGCTAAACAGCATGAAGGGCTAGTGCACAGGCTAAACAGCATGAAGGACCTATAGTGCACAGGCTAAACAGCATGAAGGACCTATAGTAAAGCACCTGCAAGTGAGTTAAAGTGAACATTTTGCAATCACGCATCTTTCCGGTGGCAACTTATGGATGTGAGTTGTGGACTCCGAATCAGTCTTTGAAGAAATCTGAGGATGTGAACTAAAATACTCCACAAACATTCTCAGACTATTATCTACCAAGAAGAAGAAAACGTCAACATCCTACACAAACATTCTCAGACTTTATCTACCAAGAAGAAGAAAAAGTCAACATCCTACATAAACAGAAGATCAGAGAGAACTGGCTCACAACCAGGATCTTATCCCGGAAGCTGAGGTATTTCGGACATATGAAACCCCATGGTGGTCTGGAGAGAACGGTGATGGAGGGCACAGTTTCTGGGAAAAGAGGCAGAGGCTGACTTCCATCAAACTGGATACAGGAGATTGAAGATGCACTGGATATGAAAGCACATAGGGCTGGAGAAATGGCTAAAGAAAGAGACTTTCAAGCATGCCATGAAGTCAGCAATGGTCTGTAAGGACATGCTGATTGATTTTTTGAATATCCAAACACCGTTTAAGGGAAAAAAACAAACGACAGACATTAGTTGAACAATGACACTTCAGGCACACAAGAGACTGACCTCCTCCCAACGTGTTCTGAGTACTCCTAGCCAGTGTTTCATGGTGGACACAGCGTCTGGGTGACATCTCTTCATGATATCCTGGCCAATGTTGAGTGTCTCTCGCAGGTTTGCCTCCTGCCTCAACATGGACTCTTCAAATTTCTGTTGAGACAAAGAAACCTCAATAATATAAAGCTATGAACTAAACACCCACCGTAAAATCATTCAGAGGAAGTATGTGTCCACTGACGGATCGCTATATGTTCAATCAATCAATCAATCATAGAAGTTTTAATAGGTCAAGAACTTTAAGGCTGGTACCAGATAGATAGCTATATGATCAATCAATCAATCAATCAATCACAGAAGTTTTAATAGGTCAAGAACTTTAAGGCTGGTACCAGATAGATAGCTAGATCAATCAATCAATCAATCATAGAAGTTTTAATAGGTCAAGAACTTTAAGGCTGGTTCTAGATAGACAGCTATATGATCAATCAATCAATCACAGAAGTTTTAATAGGTCAAGAACTTCAAGGCTGGTACCAGATAGATAGCTAGATCAATCAATCAATCAATCATAGAAGTTTTAATAGGTCAAGAACTTTAAGGCTGGTACCAGATAGCTATATGATCAATCAATCAATCAGTCATAGAAATTTTAATAGGTCAAGAACTTTAAGGCTGGTACCAGATAGATAGCTATATGATCAACCAATCAATCAATCAATCAATCAATCAATCAATCAATCAATCAATCAATCAATCAATCAATCACAGAAGTTTTAATAGGTGAAGAACTTTAAGGCTGGCATCATATGGTGTAAAAATAGATTCACTTTCCATCTGACAGAAAAACAGAATATCAGAATATATAACAAAGCCTCTAAACGAAAACAACTGAAGAACTATTGCTGTCAGGCTTCATGACATATATGGCACTGGTTAATCTTCTTAGCATTCATCGGCTGTAAACTGGCAGAAAGTTCGGGGGAGTTCATCCACTTCTTGACTTTAGTCTTGTTACAGGACTTGAGTTTTGTGTGTACATCCATTTGACAGATCTGGCTTATTGTATGCAAATAATTGGTTCCTCATCTCTCAGGCAGTGCATACTGATTTGGAAGGAACAACATTTAGTCTGAGAATGGAGGTGGATGCAGTCACTGCTGCCTTCAGCTGGCCTGCTTATCAGCTGCACACACATGTCGTGACTGACTCACAGAGTACGCTAAGAAAGGTGGAGACAGGCATGCTCCGTGCAGAGTGGCAAGCATTGCTTCAGAAGTCCTGGGTAGTCAGTGTCCTTTGGATATTTTCTCAAATCACCTTTTTGCAAAATACTGACTAAATATAAGAAGCGTCTATCTATAAAGTGACTTTAGAGACTGCAATGATGCAACAATAGTTAGCTGGCTGGCCTTCTGCTCAGTGGTCATAGGTTTCTTCTTCTTCTTTTGCGTTCATCCGAAGATGTAATTGTGTTGTGTCCGTTTACAGCATGGCTGCAATATTTGCACCTTTCGGCCAACACATCCGACTTCTGCAGGCATTTGTTGACAGGGTTAGCCTTCCCGGTTGATCATAGGTTTCAACATCCTGAATGTATATACAAATTTACCAAAACTCCACATTTCCTCTGCTTCTTCATTTCTTTCTCAACTTTCTTAAGTCATTTTCAGAAAATTAAAACAATCTGTTTCTTTTCTAAACAAATTTAGCAGAAAGTCACCTTTTAAAGAATTCTACAGGACAAAAAGGGTTAATGATGAAAGGACATACCTTGTGATCATCGATCTGTTGAACAATGAGAGCCTCCTCGTCAGGTATTGCTCCTTTAAACCTCAGTTGTCTCTCAGCATCAGACAGCCAGTCCAGCAACCCTTGAGCTTTATTGTGGAACTCTTCAGCCTGTGACAAACACAAACACCTCATGTTTATCCCCATAACTGAAAGACTTCACAAAATATCCCACGCTGTTTCTCCTTGAAGAGAGTATATCGCAGACACTGTACCAAAGCCACCTAAATGTAACTTTGGGCTATTATTTAGACCCCTACCTAAGTACATGTTTAGGGCTGTGACTTGTTACTTAACAAAACACCAAAGGCACAAATGTGGATTCCTTCTCCAAAAATGTTAAAATAAAATATTACATTTCATGCAAGTACTCAAGAAAAACATGGACTGATGAGAAGGCAGATAAATCCTTGAAGACCACCTGGCAATATGTGCAGGAACTCAAGGAGAAGTTAAAGCTAGGTCAGATAGTTTTCAATTGCCAAAATCCGGAAATTTTAACCCGGTCAACAAATGCTTGATGTAGCTGGACGATGCGTCAGCGGAAAGGTGCAAATATCGCTGCAAACAGGTGCAACACAATTGCATCACTTACATGAACGAAATGAAGAAGAAGATTTGCCAAAATGTAATTTTTCTGAGAGATTACAAAATTCAAGCAACATTTTCTCAAAAAGATTAATTACTTAGCTGACTTTAGTGTAATACCCACAATTTGAGTTTCTGTACAGTTGTGTGCATAAATGACAAAAGGCAGGATAGGACTCTGATTACTGATATTTACTGATCATGATAATTACTGATATTCGCGTCATGATGAATACTGATATTCGCGTCATGATGATTACTGATATTGCATCATGATGATTACTGATATTCGCGTCATGATGTTACTGATATTCGCGTCATGATGATTACTGATATTGCGTCATGATGAATACTGATATTCGTGTCATGATGATTACTGATATTGCGTCATGATGATTACTGATATTCACGTCATGATCTTCTTCTTCTTCTTTGATCCTTCTGTCAGAAAACATATCAGGAGGCCGGTAGCCTTTATGAAAGCTATCGTGCAATCCATATCCTCTCGTGTACCATACAGTTTTGTCTTCATTGTGGTTGGAACAGGTCAGATTGCATCTCTTTTGTCAGCATACAGTTGACAGTGTTGGAGCACATGCTCAGCATTTTCGGGTGCCATGCTGCAGGGACACGTCTCCGTATTTCCTACATCGAAAAATTTGAACATATGTTGACGAAATCTGTTGTGCCCAGTCCTTAGTCTGAATAAAATGCACTGTCCCTCTCTAGAGAGGCGATGAAGTGGGTCTTGGAGAAAATATCTTCTTTTGACACATATCTGGAGTTTTGTGATAAAATTAACTGTGGATTAAAACATTTGATACAGAGATTTAACAAACAAACTGCACCACCAATCCTCACACAAACTCGTGTGGGTTTCTGGCTCCCATTGTGTGGGGGAAAAAGAATAGACCGGCTGCTTCACCAAAAAGCATATCATAAGAGTCGACCATTTAGGGACTTCCTTCAAAGTCGGAGTACATCTGCCCAAGTGGCAAGGAACAACACAAATAAGCCAGTAAAACAGATGCGCACACAAAACTCAGGCCCTGGCACAAAGCCAAAGACCAAATGGACAAACAACCAGGACTTTCAGATGGTGCTCACAGCTATTGAACTAAAAAGAAGAAGAGGAATGTTGCTGCTTTAACCCCAAGGTAGGGATGCAGAGATGCCTCATCGCGCACAGCGGAGCAAGAGAACATGATTCAGACTTGTCAACCTATCAACACCTCTATGTGGTCATCCTAGAGACATGTTCCTTAATGGCAGCCAAACAAACGCAGATAGGATCAAAATTTCCTTCGAAGCCAGGGCACATCTGCCTGGGAAACAAGCAATCAACTGCTGTATACAATGAGCCAGAGCAGCAGAACAGATTATGCATGCAACAGTTAAATATCTCTTTCGCATATGTTTTAACCCCATTTACCCAAGACATTTGCTACTCAGAAAAGCCCTTTCTCTTATGTTATGTCATCACAATCAACATCTTTGCACACTGGGCATCCCCATACGTGCTCAATCCTTTAATGCAGCAGCCACTCAAAAGTACCTCTACTAAGTGTTTCCATGAGGAGTTTGATTGGTTACAGCATCGCCTGTCTTTACCTCGAAGACATCATACATGAGCTTCACAAAGCTTAACATCTTGGTCACACAGTTGTATCAGTAAGAGATTCCCCATTATCCCCAAACCTAGTCCATACAGCGTTGATGATATCAGCTCTGTCCATGCTTCTTCCCATCTGCATTGGTGCATTATCTGCCAGCTGGTCAGCTCTTTCATGACCATTTACTCCTGCGTACTCAGATGTGCAGATCCAGATGATGGAGGTTAACTGTGACTTTTGAATACTTTCTACCCATTCAATTTTCTGAACCATGCTTAAAGAGCCTGAAATGATTACCGCAAGTGTGGCCGATTGTTGTGCTAACCATGCGAGTGCTCTGGAAGCAGTAGTTATCTCCCTGGTCATGCCTGACGTAGTTGTCTGGTAAGCACCGCTAACCTCTTTTATTGTTTTCCCCCATCTTTTGTGCTGTGTATGTCCAAGGCGATCTTGAACCGTGCTTCAAGAACCCATCTGTGTGAATGACGATGTCTTCTGGGCGTGACTGCTAATCAATCAGTGCTCTAATCTCAGCGTCTATGGAGGCAGGTATCCGACTCCTCCAGTATTCCCCAATAATATGACTATCTTAGATAAGTCATGCATGTTTACTGGTGTATCCGCTCTTTTTCTCTTTTAGTTGGACAAAAGACTAAAAGAATAAACATGGCTAGAAACAAATTAGTTACCAATCTCTGAGCTTGTTCAAGCCTGTCCTGTTTGCTGACACTCAGTTTACAAGTCCTGTCCCACATGGCGGCCAGCTCTAGTAGCTGAGCCTGGACGTGGGACATATCCTCGCTGGACTTCTCGATCAAATCCTTGCCTGACTTGTGCACAAACTGCACAGTGTTTGCTCTCCCACCCAGCTCTTGTTGGAATGCCTATCAGAAGAAACAGAAAATGTTGATCATTGCGAACCAAAAATACATTTATTTCACAATAAACAAACAAACAAAATTGTTTTTTAATTTAACAAAAAAAAAAAAAAAAAAAAAAAAAAAAAAAAAAAAAAAAAAAAAAAAAAATCGGAACAAGAGAAGAAAACAACAATGTGAAGAATTTAACATTTTTAAACAGTTAATATTCACTGAAATTCATTTAGTAAGTTAACATATTTCTACATGATATAAATAAATCACCATATGATGACCACTAATTTTTTTTCACAAGTTATTTGATTCTGCCAAAAAGAATTTTTTAAATGCAGATATATATGAGGGGACAGTGACAGTAAATGGGATAGCAATGATACAAGCACAGATATTTAATTATATAGGGTTAAATCTATCAATGGAACGTGACCTACTTTATGTGGGGAGACTAACATTTGTTTAAATGCAAGGTGCTAATAGTTGCACATAATAAGTAGAATCAAGACAACGGATGTGTTAATAACAATTAAGTGCTGAAACACAATCAAAGTTCACAAATGCCTGACCAAACAGGACTTTCTGAGTTCACATGTGGTGAATTAAGAAGAAGAAAATGAAGAAGAAGATGAAAAAAACAGTGGTTGTTCTGTAAGCTCAAAATATAACTACCAGACTGTCCCATCTGAATCATAATGTAACTGAACAAACACTTAACAATTTTACAACCAATTACCCATCTGAATCATAATGTAACTGAACAAACACGTAACAATTTTACAACCAATTACCACAATGAAGTCAGAAGTTTGAGGTTTGAACAACGGATCAAAAATCATGGCACACGGGTAAGTAACCCATAAGTGCTCTGTTCTTCTTCTTACTCAAGTCTGAGTCCGAAGAAGCTCAGCACAGGCTCTGTAGCACCAGCAAGGATCCTGAAATACTTTGAGTAGATTTTTAGATCCAGATTTTGCCCGGACAGCGCCATTAGGCTACTGCAAACAGGAATTTTTTTTCATGCTCGTCCGATCTCACTACCCAGAGACCAGGGGGAACTACTAGAAGTCTGTCTACCTGAAAAAAACCCAGCCCTTACAGGGGATTGAACCCGGAACCTCTAGCACTTAAGGCGGACACCATGCCTAGAGACCATGCAGCCCCCTCAGTGAAGCTAGAAAATGAGTAAACTGACAACAGCAATGCCCGTCACTGACCTTGTGAGTCTCCAGGAATCCAGTGACGGTGTCCAGGTCCCCATGAACTTGTGTATCCTCTGCCAGAGTGGGCTCCACCTTGGCTAGCCAGTCCAGAAGTGCCTCAAGAGCCTCACTAAACTGTCCCGTGAACAGCAGACCTTCTTCCAGTTTACGTTGTCTGCAAACATCAACGACAACACACATAACATACAAACAACAATACTCCAGTATATAACATCAAGAGTGCACACAAGAGAAAAAGTCAGCACAGAACCAATTCTAAATTACACATATAGAGAGCAAATCAAATGGTTTGTAGGGTCCTAATGATGCGCAACACAAGACTCTTAATGTCTATTAGCCTCTCTTGCTCAAGCCTACCTCACCTTCACGTGGTGGACCCTGTTCTTCCCCGCAATCCAGTTGAATGTTGGGGTCTCAACCCCCAGTGGGAAACTGGATGGGACAACAAACGAGGTAAAGGCGAAAGACGAATGGATGAGCCTACTCTCCTCGAGTATGATCACAGTCTACCCTAGCAAAACAAGGTGTTGAAGTCGGAGGCAACCAGCCAGGAGGTGCACCACAGCAATCAGGATGCTTGGCACACATGCCATGGAAAGGCGAATGAAAGAAGAAGAAGAAACGGTTTGTCCTCATGGAAAGAATGCCTTGTGAAGTCATACCATTCTAGATGTACACTTAATGAGGAGAAGGACGCCCAGCTCAGGGTAGACCAAGAAAACATCAGAGAAACTCCACAACAGCACCGCATGTCTATGGTCGAGGTGACCAGAAGAGCAAGAAACAGAACCTTTTATCTCCACTGACATCCAACATTTTAGACAAACATCAGCAAGACTACACATAATTTAGCATGTACGCGAGCACAACTATTCTACAATCCTCTATAAAGCCACAAAATTGACACAATCACCAGCAAGACCAAACATAATTTCTTCTTCTACTTCGTTCACCCTTACAAGAGCAACTGGCACATTATAATGTGGTTTACAGCTTGGCTGTGATATCTGCATAATTTGGACCAACATGTTTAGTTTCAGCAAACCTTTAATTAGTCAGCTTATATAACATGCTTGCTGGGTGTGTGTGTATTTATCCCTTGTCCCTCTAAAATGGGGCCCCAGAATCCACATTATTTAAGATTTATATCCAACACCAATAAAATATTTGTGTAAATATAAATGCACTTCTTCCTCAGAGATCTCTGTTCATGGGCTAAATCTACTGAGGGCCATAAACCGGGATGTTAGCTTGAGGTCTCTCAGGTTTCTCAAAGCTTAGCTCTATTGTCAACTGTGTGGGCCACATGTTTTGCAGCTCCTCCCGGAGAAGGCAGCAATCTTGCAAATGCATCTGTTTATTTATGCAGTTGCATGTGCAGGGCTAAAAAGTGGGGAGGGGGAAAGAGAAACTAAGAAACATAAACAAAGAGAAGCAAACAAACAGATTGGCCTACCGGTCGACGGACTTGCCACACACAGAATTCCATCGGTTCTTTAGGTCAGTCAACAATGCCTGAATGGCCAGCTTGTCGTCGCCAGGACATTTGGTCTGCAACGTGCTACCTGCCCTGTTGATGCTGTCATATACTGGCTGTTTGGCTCCCAGACGTCGCTGGAACTCCTGTCAAGACATGACATTCAGAACAATGTCACATAAAACAAGATCATACAGAACAATGTCATACATAACCATGAATGGACAGTTTACACAAACGTAACATAACAGTGACTTTCCCTTGCCATCTGCAATCAGTATTCTTCTAAGGGAGTACAGTTATGCACAGGACATTCTGTGAGGGTTTAAGCACCCCCCCCCCCCCATTTCACGCCCCCTAGCATGTTGTAATAGTCGACTAATTAAGGGTATTAGCTTTGAAGTAGGAGTAAATCTGCTTAATATGTGAGAACTAATAGTATGCATATAAATAAACCAGATCTGTAAAACAGATGTGCATGCAAAACTCAAGTTCTGTAACAAGAGCAAAGTCCAGAAATAGATTTAAAAAAACCATAACTTTCTGCTGGGGTTTACAATGGTAAATACAAAGAAGAAAGAAGAATGTAAAGGACAGATTAAAATGAATCTAGAAAAAGAGTGAGACTGGAACATGTGACATCAACATCATCATGTGCTTTGTCAGTTCGCATAGGCGCTCATCCGTCTCCACAGATCACGATCCCTGTTTGCCTGGAACAGCTCTCTTGATGATATCCCTCCATGCCATCGTTTCAGCCCATCCAGCATCATCTCTCTTGGTCTGCCTCTACCCCTCTCTCTACTGATCTTTCCAGCTATCACGATGTTTTCCAATGCCTCTCTTCTCATTACACAGCCAAAACACTTAATTTTCAACATGTGACAACTGAAAAGAATTACAGAAAGAAAGTGACACATTTTTGACAGTCTTTTGTTACAACAGACAAAATGACATGTTTTGTTGGAGATATGAGATGCAGAGAATGCCAAGGCTACTCAGGAAGAGCACTCAATAATGATGATAAGAACAATGATATTCAAAGCAATGACATATGATTCCATTGTTAATTTACAAAAGATTCAGTGTCACAGACCTTGTGTTTGGCTATTTGTGCCCGTATTTTGTCTGGTTCATTACTGATACTGGTCTCAGAGTTCAGAGCTTGTTCAGCCTCTGACAGCCACTGGATCAAATCCTTCCACGAGTCATAGAACTGTCAACATAATACATACATAAGAGTCAGTATATACAAGTTATAAAACTATTAATACGTATACATGATCAAGTCTGTACAACAATGAACACATACAAGACCCAATTAATTTCAGTCTTGTAAATCTATTTTTAAATTGCAGCATTTGCATAGAAACAATACTTTTATGTCACTTTTTTCATGCAATATGTACATTTTAGAGTCACTTTTTCATGTAAACACCTTAACTTTGAAGTCACCTTTTTATGCAATATCTACATGTTTAAGTCACCTCCACATGGAATACCTACACTTTGAAGTCACCTTTTCATGCAATACTTACACTTTCAAGTCACATAATCGGGCAATACCTACACTCTGAAGTCACATTCTCATACAATATGTACACTGTCAAGAGTGATAAACAGCACTAAAATTTGCACTTAGATGAACAACTCTTAAAACTGCACTTAGGTGAAGGAGATGATTTCTTGTGTCATTCAGGATGTAACATGATGATGATAGTCAACCAGCCATAAGAATGCAAAATCCTCACAAGAATGAATTCTCAGTGTTGGTTCTAGGGCCCCATTGTGGGGAAGTGGGGGGGGGGGGGGGAGAGAATAGACTCACTGCCCCCTAACAAGCATGTCTTAAGAGTAGACTAATTAGGGGTGTTTCCTCCAAAGTCTGCATATGCCTGAGAGGTGAGGCACCAAGTCTGCAAACAAATAGGCCACATCTGTAAAATGCATGTGCACATAAAACTCAGGCTCCGGAACATATGTGGACAAACAACCAGAACTTTCCGCCAGAGTTTACAGCAGGTGAATGCAAACAAGAAGAAGATAAGAATGACTTTAGGTTGCCAAGAGCAGACAATTCAGAAGCTTTGAGACTGCAACAACAATGACAGGCAAACCTGTTTGGCCTCCTTGTAGCCCCTCTCTAGGTGTCTGGTTCGTTCAGCACTCCTGGAGACGATTTTCTCCCATCTGTGCTGGGCACTGGTCAGCAGGTTCTTGATGAGGACAACATCCTGTTTCTGGCTGAAGTATTTCAGGTGGGTGCCCATTTTGTCCAGAGCAAACATGGCTTCACGATGCCCACTCACATCTTTCTGCAGAACCTAATGAAGAGCCAACATCAGAAGATCATTAACTCTTTCAGTACCAAACAAGGCATCTGATGTTCATTTGCCACTGCAAAGTTGCTTTTCATATTATAATGTTTCAGCTGTCTTCTATCACATACTTGTTTAAATGTTATATTAACCTACTGTACTGGAAATATGTCGGCTCTGTGGCTTAGTCGATGCGAATGCTTCGTAATGCCGGGTTCGAACCCAGCTGCGGGCAATGCCGCTTGCGCTGGTTTCAACAGTGGTATCAAGAAAGCCGACCGTCCAGAAAGCAATGGCAAACAACTGGACGTAAATTTGCCTAGAAAAACCACACAATAGCCAGGGGCTGTTGGCGTTGGTTCTGCAACGTCCTGTAAAGGATACGCAACTAACCTATAACTGGAAATATACACACACATATACAGAGGGTCTCTAGCGAAGTGGTCAAGCCGTTTGCCTCGCACTCTGAAGGTCGTGGGTTCTTCCACAGCTCTGCCCTTCAGCTCCCTGGGGATTGTTTCTGGAGCTACAGAGTTCGTGCTCTGTGCAGCGCTTTCGGTGGGCAGCTAGCCATTCTGCGGGGAGAGACCGAGTCATATGGGATAAAAGCTGGTGGAATGAAGTCAATCCTCTTGGCTTTAACCTTTAACCTTTATTGGAAATTTTAGTGGAACTACTTCTGTCTTACAGAATCTGTATTGAGGCATCTCAGAACTAGGTATCTGCTGCTTTTAAGTGTGACCCTTAGGAACAGAAGGGGTTAAACTACTTAACAGCTTCTTGGGACTGAAAGATGTAACTGACGAAACAGAACAAAGAAGTAAACAAAAAATGTGATGCTAAATACGTCTTCAGCAGCACTATTACAAGACTACACAACATTTGCCAATTCAAGTAGCAGAATATTTTCAGAATGAATACCATCTCAGCCTATCAGTTACGTTATGTTATCACAATCGACGTCACTGGGCATTTCCAAGCCCGCTCGAGCCTCTGATGCAGCAGCCACTCCAAGGTATTTCTACTAATTATTCCCTTGAGAGGTTGGCTATAATGTCTCCAATCTCGGCCTAAGAGGGGGCATAGACGTTCACCATGCTTTATTCCCATATCATGCAATCGTGTTAGTGCCAAAGATTCGTCAGTATCCACTAGCCCTGTCTGTCCAGCGTTAATATTTTGAGGTGTCCACATCATCAGTAAGTAGTAGACTGTTTTCTTCTCTATCCCACAACCTGCCAAACTATCACCCTGGGAAAGAGCTTCCTCACCACTATCATCAGGTGTCTTGCCAACTGGAATGGGTGTCCACGCCTCTCCACAACCTGTGATCAACAGTATATAACTGTTCATGTGTTGATACCCTTCCATGCTATGAGAAAAGGCTGTCAAAAATCTTCTCATGTTTACCGCTATCTTTCTTCCTCCAAATCTTGTCAGGCGTCACAACTTGTCTAGTTTTCTACTTCTCATAAAATGACCAAAGAATTTGGACTTGTCTCTTTCTGACATTTGTGAAAAGTTATCTTCTAGCTCTGGTCTTTTTTCAAAACATCTAGATTACTCATTTTAACTGTCCACAAAACATCTAGATTACTCATTTTAACTGTCCACAAAACATCTAGATTACTCATTTTAACTGTCCACAAAACATCTAGATTACTCATTTTAACTGTCCACAAAACATCTAGATTACTCATTTTAACTGTCCACAAAACATCTAGATTACTCATTTTAACTGTCCACAAAACATCTAGATTACTCATTTTAACTATCCACAAAACATCTAGATTACTCATTTTAACTGTCCAAAGAATTATATGCAGTCTTCTATAAAACCATATCTCGGATCTCTCAACAAATTGTTGTAGCTGTTTAATTGTTCGGGATTCACAGCCATATATTAAATGGCTAGCATGCAAGAATTCTCTTTTTAACGTTCCATGATAGGATTTATTGCATAAAATGATTTATTAAGAAAAAAAAAAAAAAAAAAAAAAATCAAATGCAGCTATTGCCAGGACAGCTACCTACCCTGTGATCTTCTATCTGCTTTGTGACCTTGTCCACAAGCCGACTTACAGGCTGCAGGTTGTTCAAGGTCTTTTCTGTGTCGGTTAACCAGCCAATAAATTTATGCAGTTCCTCGTGGAAATGTCCGGCCAAGCCAACAGCATCTTCCAGTTTTTTCTGTTCAGAAAGCCAAATATAAAATAAATAAATAATATACAGGCTGCTTTTGGACTCCTTTAAAAGATTTGTGTAAAAATTATGGGACAGAAAAACTAATGATGCGAAACTTCGAGAATCAGAATACAAACTCCCCGTAAGGATTATGGGGTTCCCAGTTTTGAGGAAAAATATTTGAGGATCCTCGCCGGTGTTACAGAGCCCGTGCACTGCGCTGAGCTACTTCAGACTGAGACCTGAGTTTAAAGTAGTACGGAGTATTAATGGGTTACTATCCATGTGTCATAATGTTGATCCATTGTTCAAACCTCAAAGTTTTTACCACAACAAAGTGCTCTGTGATCAAAACTACTTAAAACACACATTTAGTGGTGCAATGGATGCTAAGTACCAAAGCTGTGGGGCTTATACTTATCTAGACCTCGTTATGATCTCTAGAAGAGAACTAAATAAATTCCTGGGAATCAAGAGGTTAAGGAAAGATGCTGGCATTGGATAGGACACACATTTAGAAAATATTATAATTCCCCCTTAGTGTTAAATATCATTTCAAACTTCAGCTAAACCTTTCTAACTGAATCAGTCTTTTGAAGGATGGATACTCTGATGTGTTGTACCGACCATGTGATCTCAGAGAACTTTCACCACAGCCACTTTAGCGACTACGGTGTTCGGCAATTTGCGGTCTTTTGGCAATTTCCGTTACCATGGAAACCATTCAAAACTTGTTTGGGAAATGTCGGCTGGTTTCGGGATGGGTCCTAATCTCTCATGAAATTTTGCGATTGGTGTGATTTTCACCAGCTATAAATAGCTGAAAATGGCGGGAACGAACCCGATTAACAGCGCATGTCTACGACAGCCGGACGTCCTCTGTTTTTCTGTTACATTCAGTTTTATTGAAAATAGCGGTAAGTATTCAAGGTTGGCTTTAGGCTTTAACATTACTTGACATGGTAATGCAAGTTATAATTGAATTCTCCGTCCAATTTTACATTTGTATAGAAAATTTCTTTCTTATGTATGGCTAATTCGATTTACAGTGACATTTTTCAGGCAATCGCTATTATGTGGCTGTGTCTGAGAAAAATTGTCTGCCATCTTGTCCAATGAAAACAAAGCCAAAACGAAAGTGGGCAGTTTGGTTGTGCAGAGAAAACTTGTTTCTGGGACGCAAGTTTTAGCAGCTGTTTTTTTACATGTCATCTTCACAAAAACCTACATATCTCAGCTCAGAAATGACATTCAAGCCTAAATGAGGTACCGTTGGAAAGAGATTGTTTACAGCTATCTAACTGTGCTGGTTTTATTGGTGTAGAGGGAATTTTAAAAATTTGACTAAAGTATCTAGCCACTTAATCATAAAGTAGCTCAAAGCTCAGTGCAGCGGCAGCACCTAAACTACCAGCCTGCTCATTTACATCAAATCCATCATAAAATAATCCAAAACTCTGTGGCAAATCACCCAACAAATTCAGTTAGGCAGAAATGGCTCACAAATGAAACAGATTTTAGTTTGTGGACGCAATGATATACTTCTCCTTTTTAGAATTCATCGGTTTTAAAACTCAGCAGAAAGTTTTGATTGATTGTCCATTTTTTTTCCTTGTCCAAGAACTTCAATTTTGCATATACATCTGTTTTACAGATCTGGCATATTTGCATGCAGACTGTTGGTTTCTTGCATCTCAGGCAGATGCAGTTTGACTTTAAAGGAATACCCCTAATTATTAGGCTTTTAAGACAAGCCTATAGGGGTAGGTACTGACATCTGAGATGTGTAAGGACCCATTTTCTCCTTTGTTGGTAAATTCTTTCATTATGTAGGAATGAGGACAATTACTAAACATAAGTTATTTATGAGAATCTGGATGGAGAACAGCAATTCTTAATTGTAATGTATGCATGGGTAAATCGAGTAGATGACTCAAGGTAAGCGTGCAATTTGGCCGAAGCATTCCAAATGAGGAAAGCATGAAAGTGTGAGTAGAATTTTTGAATGAGAAAGAGGTTATTTAGGCTTTGGACAAATGCAAATATTCAGTCTTGTTTTTGATTCAGTGACAACTAGGCCTTGTGGTGCTTGGAATGACTGAAGTGAATGATTCCTGAGATCATGTGAATGCGATCAAGCCGCTGGTCCAAGTCACTTAAAAAGCTGGCTAATTAATCCACGACTACTTGAAATTGAAGATGGATCATCTGCTATGCTGTAGGGTTTACGAATACTATTTTTCGCCAGTCCTTAAGTGCAATAGTGAGCTATGCTGAACAAGAGAAATATCGAGATTTGACAAGAGTAAGTAAAATGTTCTGGGCTCTTGGATTTTACCCTAGACAACAACCCTCCGGCACACTGATTGAAAGGAACTGCGTTAGAACCATGAACGTACATTTGTTAACGGCCTAGTGTTCTCAACGCTTTTTAGTATTCACGCTTGCTGTATTCAAGTAAGTCTGTGTCAATGTGTCTGAGAAGGCTGCATCATTCGAGCCTGAGAGAGTCACTGCATTATGAAAATATACCTACCATAAATTTCTGTAGTTGCTCCTTGGCAGTATCTGGTAGGCCGCCCACAGGTTGAGATGTGATCATCTGAGCATCCAGCTCATTGATCTTTATCAGGATGTCCTGTAGCTCTTCTGTGAAACCTCTGGCCTGGAGACGAGGAAACAATCAGTGATACATGATAATTATACACACATAATCAGTGATACATCATTCTTATACCCCACACTTTTAGTGACATACATCATTTTAATATTCCACACAATTAGTGATACATCATTCTTAATTCCCAACTTATTAGTACTATGTGAGTCAAATAATCCATTGCAAAAACAGTATAGTCAAATGAATCAGACAAGCTCTTCATGCTAAAGGTATAGATTTCTTACAAGTGATACGCTCAAGAAAATGACTGAAACAAGTGGCCAGTCACAGACCTAGAAAGCAATACAATGGTCTGGGAGCAGAGACCACAGATTTAGATGAGGTGTCATCTTCACAGTGAAAATCCTAATTCTTTTCAGAATGGAATTGTCCACTGACTAGGCTAAATGTCTTGTACTGCCCTGATCCCAGAGAAGGTATTAGATGTCCATCACTTAGTGAAGTCAGACATGGGCATCCAAAGAATGTGGGATTATCTATGCACTCAATTCAGGACCTTGGCCAGAAGAAGATGAATAAGAAGCTGATGCCAAAAAAAAAAAAAAAAAAAAAAAAAAAAATGCATAAGAAAAGTGAAGTAGAAGATGAAGAAGAAGTAGAAGGAGAGGAAGAAGAAGGAGGAGGAGCAGAAGAAGAAGAAGAAGGAGGAGGAGCAGAAGAAGATGAAGAAGAAGAAGAAGAAGAAGAAGAAGAAGAAGAAGAAGAAGAAGAAGAAGAAGAAGAAGAAGAAGAAGAAGAAGAAGAAGAAGAAAATGAAGAAGAAGAAGAAGAAAAAGAAGAAGAAGAAGAAGAAAAAGATAATGAAAAGATGATGACGATGAAGAAGAAGAAGAAGAAGAAAAGGGTAAGGTGAGGTAATCACAGTCTCAACTTCACAGCAAATGGGGTTACTCCATAGTTGCTTGGTTTCTGTGATAATGAAAGCCACACAGAATGGCCATCACTGCCCCTTGTAGAAAAATTGACACAGACTGCAGTCTCTGCAAATCCAAAAGCATACACACAAATTAAATGCATAAGGCAGTCATCAGAAGTGTCAACACTAACAGTCTGGCACTAGAAATGCAGTTCATCATCAATGGAAGCAGCAGTTACAACAGATCAGTAGCTGTGCACACGATTCATCGCACAAGGCACCACCAGTTCTGTGGTAACAGGCCACTCCCAATTTTCTGAATCTACAGCTCACAATGTAAACGATATTAGGCAAAGTAGAAAAGCATCCCTAATGAAATCCACAGCTCACAGTGTCACACCATGCACACAACTAAGTAGTTGGGTGACGAAACTATATCCTTTCAGTCTATACATGAAGGAAAATGCAACAGCCAACTATTGTCAGAAGCAAAAGCTTGCCATGACTAAAAACAGAAAACCTCCCTATCCTCCACACTGACTGTAAGCCCAAATCTGCCAGCAGGAAAAAAATGAAGAATCCTTAAACACACACACAATAAAAAACATATAAAAAAGAACGATTCTTTGTGCTTATTTCAATTACCTCTCTCCTAGCATCGTCTAGCTGTGACTGTCTCTTGGCAGCTTTCTCCTTCACCTCATCCAAGCCTTTTACCAGCATTTCCATCTTCTTCCTCAGCTTGTTAGCCTCCGGTGCTTTCTCCCTAGCCATCATATTATTGGCAGCCTCCGAGAGCAAGTCCAGGTTTTCTTGGTGGGATTCAATGTCATGAGTGATAACCTGTAAAATGACACCTCATCCAAGCCTTTTAAATCCAGCATTTAACCTGTACAATGACACATGAGAAAACTTGTGACATCTAGGGGGTTCAGTAACATGGGTGATAACCTGCAGAGAGAAAGAAATGGAGGCCAGCGGTATCTGCATCAATGAATCTCACAGGCTCCGAACACTAAAGAGGAAGAATCTTGATGTACCAGGATTTGATTTCCCTACCAGGCAATTTAGAAAAAAAAAAGTATTCTCATGGCTTTTGGAGGGTGGAATAAGAGTTGCACTGTGGAAGAAATCAGGGAGTCCCTACTTAACACCCCCCAAAGACAGTAATGGAAGCACAGATCCACTACATTCAACCTCCATTTGTACAACCACAAAATAATAATAAATGTTATTGTTCCTAACTGCAACAACAACAAAAAACTCGTCATGTGGGTTTCTCTGGGTTCTTTACTGGGGTATGACCGCATGAACAACCAAACTTTATTTTCAAAGGGTTATAAAAGGACAGACCTAATGTCCCTCAAGAAGCACGTCATAAGAGAAGAGTAATTAGATTTGCCAAAATTGAATTTTGAACAAATATGAAACAAACAATAGATTGCACAAATTATTGCCTGGTATATTCTG